ATCAAGACAAAGTTTGTGGTGGAGTGTTTTACAGCTTTATACATGTTGCTGCTACTTTGCTGGTTAATTATCCTTCAGTGAAAGTAGTCCTGGCCAAGCGATGATCAACATGAAGATGCATTAAAGGATTGATCAAATCTTGCAGATAATTATTTCTCTATGGGGACAATGGAGTGTTCACCGTTGATTCATTGCCAATATTTTGCTGCGTAAACCTTCAGCTGCAAGGATATGTAAACCCATCATCTCATAAAGTGTTGATGGAATATATTGCTTCAGAGATTCAGATATTGGTATAATATCAGAAGAAAAGCCGTGACTTATTGAACTTTCTACATTTATATCCCTGTGAAAACAAACATGTTTACATTATTGCAAAGAAAATTTACATCTAAAAGATATGAAAGCGCAATCTTTTATTGTTGTGGCTGTTATTTATTGATCAATAAGTAGCTATAACCCAGTTTTGGTTCAAATGTGATTCACAGCTCACTTGTTGTGCTTGAGTAGGAGGTAAATAAAAATGACAAATCCCCTGTCACCCCCCCTCCTCTACCTCTAATATCAAGTATGTTTTTATTAAAGGTATATAGGAGGATTTTCCCAATTTTTAGGAAAGTTCCGCCTTCTCCACTTTTTGAACGAAACTCTCTGGTCTTATTGGACGAGGCCGTATCAGCAGAATGATTGACAGTTGGGAGGACCAATAGTCTTGACGATCCACCCGGAAGTAGAAAATCCTCCTATATACCTTTAATATTAAACTGATGGCCAGTCAGACATAGCAGCGAAATCAGACCACTTTTATGCCACATTTAGGTATTTTTTTCCTGAATTCTTACTGAGAATATTAGCTTAGTTCTTTCCCTTGCTGTTGAAACTAAGAAGCGAATGACCCACTTTCTCTCAGCCTCATGTTTGGATACTGAGTGCTTTAGCTGTAATTAATGTGTGATTCTTTAGTGGAGGCTCTGAACTTTATCTGAGGATCACTAATGAATGAGAAAATGGGATCAAATGAATAATTATTAGCTTGATGAGGTTTTGGTCATAATGCAAATTTCACATAATAACAATAATCACTAACACATTTGACCAGTCATTTGTCAGGAGTAATTTGTTATTTTACTATTCAGACCTGTTGTTTTTGTTTAGGATTTGATAATTTCTTTGGCATAGATCCTGTAAATGCATTATAAAAGTAGTAATAGGATAGAAAGGTGACACAGGGACCTATATCTGTATAATTTTAAATTATATCTTCTACAGATGTTACTCTCGTTTTTATTTGTTTATTTATTTAAAATGGTAAACAAACAAATATATGAACATGACAAACACAAGGATAAGATGCTTTTTACTAATAAGCTCATTTACATGTGTATATTTTGTTTGTTTGGCTGGTTGATAACATAGACTTAAAGTTGTTTGTAGTACAATCATATTTGATAAAAAATAACTAATACAACTATTCATCCCCTTAAAATTCATATTGTGTGAACAGTTTGAACAGTTTGATTCTCTGTCTGATTCTCAGTATTCATCTGCTCTGAGAGATGTGATTTAGAGCTATACAATTGAATGTTGTTTTTACATTCAATGAAAATATGACAAGCAATAGGAAAATTGGCTGGCAAAGATATTTTATTTGCCTCATATTATTCTCCTGGTTCTTTGATTTGGTATCAAATATGTCTGGAGATGGCACTCATCAGAGTAGACAGAGTTGTTCACATGACAAAGATATATCATATTGTCTACGTTTTTTGATGTGACTTGCCAGAAATATCTGTTCTTCTATTCATTAAATTCTACTTTCGACTTTTCTCAATAGAAGTGGCATTTGTCCAGAAAGGAACTATACTTTCCCTTAGGCTTGCCGCTCACGCACACATGCACACACTGAACTCTGCACATGTCGCTTTGAGCCAAATGTCAGCTAATTAAGGGTTACAAGCTCGACCTTTCCTACCCCCAGCCAGGCCACCGCAGCCAAAAGAGAGGTGTCTCCTGCAGGTACAGTGTCCTGCACATTCAGAACCCAGGCCACGCCAGTCTGATATGCTAAATATACAGGCTGAACCCACAGAGCAGCAGACATCATTATAATGTACAGGCTCAAGACGACAGCGACATGAGAAACTGAATGGTGATGCAGCAAGCAATAGTCACATAAATCTTTATACTGTACCAGATTTAGTATGATATAATGCTGATTCCTTGCTTTTAGTGTTTGTTTTTTTCCTTGTTCTTGAACTGTACATTGCAACACTGAAATGTTCTTATTACGGGACAAAAAAAGTATGTTATCTCATGTCACCAACATGTCAGAGATGTCCTCTGGTGATAGGCCATGGATCTCAGATAGAGAGCTGACTCAATCAGAGAGGCTTAAATTTAATGGAAAATGTATAGTCTAAGGAAATGTAAGAAGTGGATTGATGTAATGATTCGAGATTAAAAACTTGATGTGAGACTTGAAACAACCATTAGCTTCACACTTTCAGTTCTGTTAATAATTTAATACAAGGAGTACAAGCGAGCTCTTTTTGACATTTATCACCATCAAAAAGTGGGAAAGAGCGGTACCCCCAATGGAGGTGGGCTGTGAAAAATCTGTTAGAATACACTTGCCCTCAAACTGTACTTACAGAAAAGCATGAGATGATTCCACGTGCTTAAATTGGAATCTTACACGTTTTTTTTTTTAAATAATTCAATTCATTCAAATTCTTTCAATTCATTCAAATTATAAAATAGCATTGGTATTTATTCTATCCTAATCTACCATTATCAAAATAAACAAAACAGCAGAAAATATATCCAAAATATTGAAAAATAAAGAAATCTGTAATAATTCTGCTAGATCTATAGAACACTACAACAATTCCGCGAATTGTATAATCTAAATGATTCCATTCTACCTTTTTTTTCTGTTGCTGGGTCACTGGGGGATTAGATTTTTATACACTTTGCTATGACTATACTTTTATTCAGTGCAGCATAAGGACATCCAAGAAATAGCTACTCAACCCTAACCCAAATTATATAGGACAATGTAAATGTTACTAATTCATATTCAACACCTGTTAACAATATGGTTAAAAGTCCACCATTGACATATAATGGCTCAAACTCTACTTCTGTTAGAATCACTCTGAACCACTGGAAAATCACTTCACAAACAAGTCTGCAACAAATATGATTTAATTCGGCGGCCTGTTTTGTTGATTTAAATTGGCCGGGTGTCGTAATTGGGCGAATAGAGTCGTGCACTCGATCATGGTGCACAAATTAATTGGTTGAGAAGGGTGCTGCTGAATATTGGATGTCTTCTCTCCCGTTCAAAGCGTTCTCAAAGCTGCAGGGAAGCACTCAGAGCAATGGGAACAGGAGCACAGTGAACAAAGTGTACTCTACTCCTTTTCAGGCTTTTAGGATGGGAGTCTGGGTGGCACTCCAAATGTGATGTTTTGGACAAAAGTGCAGTCTTAGTTATAGTTTAGTATTGAGCATTTAGGTATTGGTATTAGAATGGTCATTTAAGGTAAATGGGAGATATACAATACATTGCTTGTAAATAAAAGAAAAAAAAATGATCTTGATTTGAGTCTATTTTGTTTGGGTTAACAATACTTGCAAATTAAATGCAGCTTTGTTTTTCAAGTTGTTTCTCACTCAAAAAAAACACAACATACTAAATGTAAATCTTTGATACATGGATGATTATGCAGTGTTTCATCTTGTCATTTTTGCGCTAAGCAGGAAAATCCTTTTTGCACTGTGTCCAGAGTGAAAAACAATATGACTGAATACAGAAGTGGATGGTCTTAATAACTTTATTCAGATCAATTTCGAGATATGAGATCATTTGACTGGGAGAATTATTGCTTGTGTGTGCCGCTGGGCGGGATATAGGAAGGTGTTTTTATCTTTTTAAACTTTTTAATGCTCATTAAATATACCTGTGGTTGGTATTCGTATATTGAACTTTGAAAGTGAATGTGCGGGATCATGAAAGTGCTTGGGGATCATGAAGGATCCGTCTCAGTAAACACCTGTCCCTCTTCTCAGGTGTCCCAGTCGCTCTCCCATGGCTCCACCTGCTGTTCCTCTATTTGCTACAAAGGAAGCTTCCCATGATACAGTATACGACAGCACACATGAACGAAACTTGTTTAAATTTTGTCTGTTTTGGCTGTTTTCCATTGTGTCCATGTGTCATGCTATTATTTGTTTAATAGTTTATGGTTCACTTGGAAACAGCAGGTTTAATAGTAAGGTATACTTCATTGTCCCGGTAGGTGGTCCTTTGAAGCAGGGGTGTCAAACTCATTTTGGGGGCCCATTTTACTACTTTTATACAAATTATCCATCATTATTGTAGTGCAATGTTTGTTCTAAGAATAGTTTTATGCATCTGTGGTTACACTATGAAGGTATTTTCAACAATGTATTAATGTAATAAGCCATAGGTTAGGGTTAGATTTTTTCCACAAAATGGGCAAACGATAAAGACTGACTAAATTTTGTTGTTGGTTCAATGTTTTGAACACATTTTCTTGAAAATGTGTTTTACAAGCCCTTTCTTAGAGGAAATGTAAAGAAAGAGCTTATACGTCTTGCGTATAAGCCCCCCCAATTTGATTTATACAACATACAAATGGGATACAGTCTTGTACATATAAACAAATAAGCAAGAAGTGCTGATCAGACAATGCATAATAAACTCTCTTGTTATCTCTTCTGTAATAAGTGTATGCATATTGCATAGTTTCAGCCCAAGCAATGCTTTTGGAAGAAGCTTAATCTATAACTATGCAAATATTCAGATGGTTGTGTTTGCATGACTCAGACCGTTATTATCCCAAACCAGATTTCTGCAAATCCAGCTTTTATGAGCTGCTCTGAAGATAGACTGCAATTATTTGTGCCGAAATGAGTTACAAATCTGATGCAGGCTCTAAATACTAATCTTGTCATCTGTGTTTTCTCCACAGAGACATCAAACCTGACAACATCCTGCTGGACGAACATGGTAAGTGCAACTGAAACATTAGAGACATTACATGACAACATATGAAATGGGAAAACACATACACACACACACACACACACACGCACACACATTAAAGCCTGAACCCTTGTGTCCCATAGTCGAGGAAAGAAACTTGTGTTGTAAATTACCCTATTATGTACTGCAAATACTGCACAACTTTAGTTTGTTGAAATCTTTGAAGAACTTCCTTCGGTTTCTGAATATCAAAAATGCTCATAAACTCATTACACAGACGTAGAAGAATCTGAAGAATTTGCAAGAAAGTGAGGAATAAGTTTGGATAATGAACTAGTACTGTTTTTAGTTTCAACAGGCTTTATCAGTTGTTTGTGGTTAGGGGAAGCCTACAGTGGTAATAACTGTAAATGCTCCTGTCTGTTAAAAAAGCGTGGTCATTCCATTCTCCCACTTTTATCATAATAAATTATGTATGCATGTATGATGTAAAATAGCCGTCTGGCACCACGGCTGTTTGTTTTGACAGGTTTTGTTTCGCAGATGCACGCTCACAGAGACACACTAAACTGCTGAGGTCTGGAGGGCACTGGGCAGCTGCTCCGGGACGGCAGCCCTGTCTCATCACTGTCCCAAAGAGAGAAAAGAGAGACTCCTCTCCTTGAGTTAGACAGTGGAGAAAATGATGAATCAGGAGAGGATTTAGCAGTGAAAAAGGACAGACTAAGGAGATAGAGGTGTGTTTACAATATCAGGAGATATTGCTTGCAATATCTAAAAATGAAAACAAGTATCCAGAACATTTAGACTTAATACAAAATCATAGATTCAATTATCCTGACTTCTTTGTGATAATGCAAAACCACCTCTGTCTCCGTTCAATCATCGTCTTGATTCACAATTTTTTATCTTCTCTGCCTTACTCTGACTCTCTTCTGGACATTAATGAGACATGGGGTTTTTGATGGATTAGTGCTGATAACATACAACTACTTCAATAACAAAATCTGTTGTGTCCTTGGGCAAGACAAGGAAGACGCCTCACTGCCAGTTCACGTAGCTCTGCCTCACCTCAGCTCTCTACAAATCTCACCTGTGACTTGGCCTGATATTGTTGTTTAATAATTTTCCTTTAGCCTTCTACTAAGTGCATCATGTAGATGTTGCACTCTTAACAAAACCCAACTTTTTAGACATGACTCAGCCTAAAAGATGAGTCTAATCCTATAATGTACAGTATACATAGTAACTACTTTCTGTTTGTGATCAGTGTTATGAGAGGGGAAATGTAAGTAATGCAATAATAGCAGTAACATGCATTTGAATTATATAACCTCTACTCATATTTGAAGGTAATCCCAGCATTAGATAATACTGGATAAGCCACCACAGTCTGTATTTCAACTTCATTCATTCAAATTAATTCCGCATTTGACCAGATTTAGCGGGATTACAGCTGCAAATATTGATATTGATGTGAAAGAGAGGGTCATGTGAAGATATTTCACTGGATTAAAGAGAATTTGTCAGATTCTGTTTCGAATAAGAAAAAATCATAAACATAATGTTTATGAGGCAAATTATTAGTTTTCAGAAAGTAAGAAGAGTAGAAGTGATTGTTGGATGTATTTGTTCTAATTTTTATAGGAAGTGCAAGTATTTGTCTAATTTATTAGCTACATTTCCAATACACTATTGATGCTTGTGTCTTTGGCAAAACCACATTATAATCCGAGGTGTTTAATTACAATGTATTTGGTTGATTTTGGAATCATATCCAAATTATTAAAAGAGATGCTTGTGTAGATCCCTAAAAGAAATGTTGACAGATTCCAGATCATTCCAAAATCATGTGTATTATTCCTGGAATAAAAGTTAAAACCTGTTGAAATGTGTTGAAATAAAAAAATTAATGGAGGTTACCTAAAGGAACAACATTTCTATGTACAAAGAACAGTAGGAGACTCTTCTCGAGGACAAATACATTGCTTGTGGAGAAGCAATTTAAGAAACCTATTTTGGAGGGGAAAATATATTCATAAGTGTATACTGGGGTTTTAAAGCGGGCGTACATGACTTTTAAACCTCAAAAAATGTAATACATAAACATATGTAATCAAATTGCTCTGAAACCAGGTTGGTTCTTTCACTATTTACTTATTTAGCTCACAGGACTTGCTTGTTTGCTAAAGATAACATGTTACTAATAAGATGAAGACAGCATGTTGTGCTCTTAAATATCCCTTTTACGTGACTTTTTGTTGGCACAAACTGGCACAAAATATTGTTTTATATTTTATTATTATTTTGTTTTTGAATCCCATCCCACATGTATATTCATTGCAAGTTTAATTTGCATAGAAGTTTTTTTTAACAGTCTGTTGCCCGCCCTTTTATAAATTGTGGGTTACTGAGGACACCCACTCATCCGAACAATCACTATGCGGCAAAACTGTCCCGGGCCAGTGTTCCCCCTCTATCACTCCCTCCTCCTTCCTTCTCCCCCTGTCCCAAACGCACACAGTAGTCCTGTGTGGGGCAGTCTCATTAGTGTGGCCTCAGTGCATGGCAATGACTCACAGTCATCTCGCCGAAATTGGAGACTCAGGTCAACGGTTTGACTTTGAGGTAGGCACCAAAATACATACATGGGCCATATTATGTTCTGTACTGCAGTGGTAAAGGGAGTGCAAAATTCAATAAAACAGAATGTATAAATGCATAGAATGCATGTATACCAAAACCAGAGTTCGCTTTAGGTCAGTGGGGGGTTAAACCGTTGGCTGCTGATTTTAGTTCCAACCTGAGCTGGAGCTAAAAGCAGGAGCCCACCAGACTCCACCCATTCTCAGATTTTAATGTTAAATTTGGACTCACCTGAGGAAATGGGTGGAGTCTGGTGTGCTCCTGCTTGGGTTGGAAATAAAACTCGTAGCCACACTGACCCTTTAGTTTGAAGCCTGGTTTGACACCCCTGCTTTGTGTGAACCAAAAAGTGCTAAAATACTTCATCTGTGGAGACGTGAAATCTTCAAAATGAGATAAATGACTTCTAAAACAGTGTACACTTTATTTTAGCCTCAACTGGTTCAATTAAAGTAAACTCTTGTTTAGTTGACACTCAAGTGTGAACATGCCCTAGTGGAGGAAGGATAAAGACGTTTACATTTGTTTCAATATCCAAATGTAAAATTAAAGGCATTGATTGACTGCATATTTATCTTAATTTTAATCTGAATTTGATAATAATTGAAATACATATATTGTCAAAGCGTTATTAAATCATGTTTTGTCTAGACCTAATTAAGGCTGAAATAGTTTATTTTTTTTGTTACAGGTCATGTCCATCTCACAGACTTCAACATTGCTGCTATTGTAAAAGACGACCTAAAGGCAACATCCATTGCGGGAACCAAGCCATACATGGGTAAGAAAACATGCATATTTATGTCATGTTGATTTTGTGCAAATTTAAAATGGCATGCCCCCTGCCATGGAACCGTAAAATCTGCCAAGAGGATTTGATTCCGTAAACAACCAGGGGGTTGGTGCCAATGCAGCTGTGCTAATTAGCAATTAGGGAAATTTTAGAGGTTATTACATATTGCCTTGATGGATATTGATGGAATAAAGGAAGAGAAGAGAGGAAAGAAAAACATACCAAGATAGCTCATCTTTAGCATCTGTGGTGATATTACTGTCAGTATGTTTAAAGACAATATTACTTTGATTGAATAAGGGTATAGCTATTGTTTTGAGAGTACAGTATGTTGTGCTTAGTAAACCTACTACTTTTTGCAGCTGCCGAAATGTTGCGACCACTGTAAATAAACTCACAAGTTTTCAAGTAAGACAGGTTGCAGGATTTTTTACCCAAGCTTCATTGCTGTAAATGAGATGTAAATTAAGTGGTAACTGTCGTAACTATTAATAATTGGCTTTGTTCAGTTCAATTTTTACAATGTAACAAACCACTTTGTCTCCACACGGTCATGAGGGCTCATTTTTAAATCCCATTGGACTTGAAATATTAATGTTTCGGATTGTAGAGGTCACAACTGCATAATAACCCTCAGTAATTAGATTGTACAAGCAGGATAATATTAGATTTGTAAGTCTCATTGAGTGAACTATTGCCACACACGGCCTGTCGTCGATCATGAAGGTCAAGCAGGTAGTCCACTTGGAGATAGTAATAATTGTTTTGAAAAGAACTGTTGCTGATTATTGAGGTCATGTCGTTGTCACTGTGGCATTTAGTGTAAAAGCAGCTCTTTAGGTCAACAAGACTGCTGTGTTCTGTCTCAGTGCAATAATGTCTTTATTGTCAATACAAGCTATGCACAAGAAAAAAAAAAACAATTTAGATGATGTATTATAATTTTGCAATATTTGTCTCGCACTCCACGCAGTGATGGGAGTGGTGTTGCCATACAGGAGGTGCATGCCAGACGTATTGTACATGCAAACCTATGCAGACACGGGGAGAACATTCAAACTCCACTCAGAAAGGCCCTGGGATTAGAACCCAGGAAGCCCAACAAATCAAGGACACATCTTTGTCAATATCGATATCGAGTGATATTTAACTTTTTTTTTTCTTTAAAAAATGAACATTAATCAATCATCATTAATGTAATTGTATAGGTGAATATTTTCACATAAAATACATATAAATCTAAACTTGTAGTAGATATAATAGATCATGTTGCTATTGTATCTGCCAAACAACTGTACGCAGTGTTTGATTGTTTTCTCCACATCCACAAAATGTCTCCTGCAGGTTTCCTATGACACTAAAACATGTGGACTACGAATTAAAACTAGCCTTGAGCTGATCATTAATAGACAATGTCCCACTGAAATCAATTGTACAAAAATTTGATATTGTCTGAAGAAAAAAAAACAACCTGGCTGAAAACATTATTAATTCACCACTTTTTCTTCCAGATTGGCTATCTTTAAGATATGTACTGTGTATTCTTCAATACCAAGTTGGATGGTATCATTTTACATCCATAAATACATTCATTTTACACTATGTGTTAAACGTGTCTATAGCAGGAGGCTTAATTGAATCTCTTCCTGGAGTTTAAACGGCAGACCCCACAAACGGTGCGTTGTCAGCAGTACATGGCATGGTGACGGTGGGCTGTCCTCCCGGTGACTCTGCCTCCGTCTGATCAATGAGCTCACTCAGATCAGATACGGCCTAAGTGGATTTGAGGGAGAAATGAATGACGAGGAAATGAGAGGCTTGTCAGCGTTCTGTTTTCCAGTCCTCTGCATGTTGTACTTTTGATGGCTTTTGATTTATATTATTTACAATTGTATTATTATATGTTTGTTGGCCAAAAAAAATATAGTCTTTGATTGCTTGGTATTGGATGGAAAATCCCTAATGTTCCTGTTTCCACCTACTAAAAATCAAACCAATTTATACAGAATAATGTTGAATACCATATTGTGGAACACTTCAGTAAAACCATCATTAAGTTGTAATTTTGTCACAATTGCCTACTATAATGGTTCTATTTAAACTCATTTGCAGAAATGAGTTGGGCAAATTGCTTTCTCATATATGCATGTTCTTTCTTGTTCAATTCAAATCATAGTGCAACTACAAATTATGAGCAAACAAAGAAACCACTCATTTAACCAATTACAAGCCTAGTCAAAAACAAAATAAATTCCTGTATTTCTGCTGTTTTCTGTGTCGGATGTGATGATATGTGATGGATCATTTATTACTTGTTGTCGTTTTTTTTGTCACTATTCTTTAGAGCCTCAAACCAACCTGAAGTGATATGTGGATGTCTTTCTTCTGGCAATTTTCAAGGGACAAATGAAACAAAAATACTCCATAATAACAGTGGATATGATCAAAAGTGATCAAAATTTAAAATTTGACAAACAAATATGCTTTCTTAAGTAATACAATTTGAATTCGCACAAGAAAAGTACATAAAGGACTTTTCTTAGTAAAACATGTTTGTTTTAACAAGTTTTTTTTTTAACTGGTTTCGGTGAAGTCCAGATGTATGTAATGTAATGGAGCCCAGTATTACAAAGTAAGCAATTTTCTCCAGTCATATTTTTGAACTGAAGTAATTTCTTATCTCATCTAGATTTAGTTGTACTTATTAAATGTATGTGTATGTGCTTTAGCCCCAGAGTTGTTCCAATCGTTCGAAGGGTCTCACCCGGGCTACTCCTTCTCTGTGGACTGGTGGTCTCTGGGCATCACAGCGTACGAGCTGCTGCGAGGACAGGTAAATAGACCACCTCATATATAAACATTTATAGTCCAGACACCCCTCATTCATCACCAGGACAAACCAAAACAAAGGGGATTGAAGAGGTAATTGAATTTTTAATTTAAGATGACCTCTGCGGGCGAGATGCTCAGAAGTTTAGCCACGCTTTCTGAGACCAATCGCTGTGACAAAATGAGAAAATAGAAAGGCAGTTACTTCAAGAGGCATGTAATTCGAATTGATTTCAAAATATATTTATTAATTTGTTGGCGCTCCCATCTGGTGGAGCCTAATACTGATGTCACGGCAACAAATTTGTTTCTATTTTGTTCAATCTACATACTTTATCAGGTCGAGTGCTCCAGTGCAGACAGCAATTTATCCTTCTAGGCAGGCTGTTCAGTTTGTGGTTTGAAAAATGTGAACATGAGTGTAATTGATTATGTCTGTAGCAGGTATTGGAAAGCTATGAGCAAATACCAGTTTTCTTTGAAGCCAGTGACCGGAGTTTTACCCCTTTTTTTTTCCTTCAAATGTGGAATATTGTTCTGTCACAAAGTGAATATGGTGAGATACGGTGCCGAAGTAAAAGTAGTGCGTAGGGACAAGCAGTTGTGGGACCCTCCAGCAGGAATCCATAATACTAGTTGTAAAATAGTGGTTTCTGAGCACCAAAGCAAGTTATATTGTATCTCACAGGTGGCTTAAAACAAAAAATTGAGTCAAATATTGTAGAACTGGGACAATGCACATTAAGGAACATTTCTGTAAAAGTGTCAATTTTAGCTAAACAGCTGGTTTTCAACTGTAGTCTCTGAACATGATAAAAATATGCCATCAAAAGACATTTGCTTTGGTAAACGTACTGTAAACAAATAAATACAAAAGGTTTGTATAAACACTGCATTAGACAAGGTCACAACATACACAAATGAATTAATTTTGCATTATTCATTCACTCCAATACATCAAACTTTTACCATGCATACATTTCAAAGTGCATGTATTGGCTCACTCGGCATAGCTTTGATGTGATTATTCCATAGAGCAATCCTAAAATGTTCAATATTAAACCCTACTGCATGAATTGTTTTATTATTCTTCAGTTTTATTTATTTAAGCTACTATAAATTCTCTCTTTTATCTCTGCCCAGTTTGGCCCACACACATCACAGCGTTCTCATACATCAATATTATCCAGGTCCAGGCGTCTCTCCTCAGCTCATCATCCATCACTGTCACGCTGTGTGGATTCTTCTAAACTTCTTTCGCTATCATGCTTAGGATGGGGCTCAAAATAATACAAACTGCAAGAATCTTACACATGGCTTGAATGCGTACTAGCCAATGGTACAGAGAAAGGCTAGTCCTAGTTAATGGATACACTGTCTACCTCAGCAGCTGAGGTGTGGGAGTCGGACATTCAAAGATGCTTCACATGGCACTATTCTTTCTCGCCATACATGGTGATGATGAGCTACTACTGTAGCCACAGCTGCCCTGGAGCAGACTGACAGCAGCAAGGCAACCAGTATCTGCCATCAGTCCCACTGATCACCAACCATTCACGCACTCACAACTCATTCTAGGCAACGTAGGGGACTTAGGTCTTTACTTAGGTCACAACGACAGTTTGGCACTTTGCACCTGGTGTTCCCAGAGGTCTTCCATCACAGTAATAACTATCCCCAATCCTGCTTAGCTTCAATGGTCTGACGGGATCCAGCTATTACATGTACGTAGGTGGCGCCACAAACTTTAAATTTTAAAAGCAGAAAAGATGAGACTAATACATATTAATCTAATACAATCTAACTTGTTCCTGGCTCTAAAACTGTTTGGTTTGTCTTAGTGTGGCTCATTTTGTGCTTAGGAGGAGAGAGAAGAAGGGCGACAGTGGTTCAGTTGGTAGAGCGGTCTTTGAACCTAATGGTTGTGGGTTCGATCCTCCCATGACCCATGTCATCTGCTCCCACTGATGTCTGTTGTCGTTGTGTCCCTTTTGCCTGAAGCCCCCTACTGAAAGACCAAGGTCATGTCTTTGTTGACAGAGAATCTATCATCCTGCAGGAGGATCAGCGAGGGACAGGTGCTGTGAGACTTGGGTGGCAGCTCTGATTCCCAACCCAGAAATGGAATGATAAAGGGGAAGAAAATAACATTACATAATACATTAAACCAAAATCTACATATATGTAGATGTAGGTGAATGGATTGCAACCTAAGTGATGTTGACCACTTCAATTCATGGTTTAGTCTTGATGTAGAATGACCTGGTGTCATTCTAGCTCAAAACCATAATAATGTTGTTTTACTGAATATACTATTCTATGTATGATTTTCAGAGACCATTTGTGATGAGGTCCAACACGCCGGCCAGTGAGATTCTGCAGACCTTTCACAAAGTCCACCCCAGTTACCCGGCCGCCTGGTCCCTGGAGATGAAGTCCCTGCTCAGAAAGGTAACATTTATCCCCAAGCAAAGATATGACTCACAAATGGAGTTTTGACATTGAACAGCCCATTGGAAAGACTCAAAATAAAGCAGAATGTGGATGAAACCATATTTAAATGAAGAAAATATTAGATCTGTCGAGGATTTTGTATCTCTCCAGAATCGATAGTTTAAGAAATACAGATCGACACAAAAATGAGAATATTTGGATCTTTCTACTGTTTTGTTTGCAGGTCACAATGGAGGAAGTATTGTACACTATTCTATTAGACCTTTAGCACTTTTCTTTTACCTTTCAAAGAAATACATTTTACTTAGTTTGACTGTGTTGTCTCTTCAAATAAGTTTTTCAGAACCTGCTTTGAGAAATGTTCACTTGATCGAACATTGAATCATGGTGTTATTTGGGATTAGATTTCCATGTATCTTGTGGGAAAGACAAAAATAATAAATAAACTTCTTTCTTTCTTGTGAAGTGAATAGGGAAGATCATTTTTCTTTTAAAGACAAAACGTTGACAGTCTACGTTCCGTGTTATTCCGATGAAATGTAGCTCTAGACAAATGTATGATGTTCACAAAAAAAACTTCCAGGAGCCGAAAACTTTAAGAAACAAAAGATAATAAGAATTCCAACAATCCATTTTGTAAGTTCGGACAGGCTTTAAGACACGAGAACAAAAGATTCTCCTTCCCGAGACTTTCTATAGAGAGCGTGAAAGCCACTGCTGGATGTGCAGACGTGTCATTGTCAAAATTACACAACTGAAAATGTATTTACTTGGCAAATGGCAGCAGCACTGAAAAGTATGAAGGTAAATACAAATTCTTCTTACTTGTTCTGTCTTTGTTTCAAAGGCAATAGAACTATTTCAAGCTGGTGTATTCGCAGCACTAGAATACACTGGTACAATAAAGTATACTTTACAACAAAACATAACATAAAACAGAGCTATTGGATGTATAAATTGAACTTCTTTTTACAGAGTGTTTATACAAAGTGTCTTCAGCTTCTAAAAGTGCAACTATTATATTTTTTATTTGGCCCTTGGTTGGTTGTTTAATTCATAATAATTTATAATAAAGGACAAATGATGATACGTATAATGTTAATGTCGATCATGTCTCATGTGTAATGAGACATGATCGACCCTGTTTCTTTTAACCTGTGCAGATGTCTTGAGCTGGAAATTCCACAGTAAATCGTACCAAGTGACTTCATGGTTAAATTAGGTTGAGTATGAATATAATCAAAATAAAGTAAAAATTTGTTGACAGTGAGAATTACAAAGAAAGATGTTAAAGTGTGATGATTCATGTGATCTTAAAATGAAGTTGTAACAGAACTTAACCTGAAGTGATCTGGAATGGACAGGTTTGTGAAGAGAATTCCTCGTGGCAGAGTGGACCTAACAAGCCTTTTTATTGAAAGAAATAATTATTACAAGTTGTTAAATGCATTTATTTTAGATTAAGGGCCTTGAAAATATTAACGTCACCATGTTATTGGTCATACTTTTGCTGGTAAAGATTGGTCTAAATTGATCTTCCAGTCAGATTTTACACCATCAATGATTTTTACTTTTAAGTTCCATTTAAATTATATAAAGGAATTGCATTTTAATCCAGGCTTGTAGTTTATATCCTGCTATAGTTTTAGATTTTCAAAAATACTACTCTTTCGTTTGTCTGTTTTTGTAAAATCCACACACTTGGCACAAAAACACAATTTTAATGAACTACTACTTTAGACACTTTCTTTTCATTTGACCAATTAAAAAAGCATTTTAATTAGCCCTACTCTGCGCACCTTGTAAACAGGCAAGTGTTTGTGCTCCCACAACAGCTCCAGTTGTTCTAATCATCCATCAGTATTCAGAGCAGAGCACTGTTGTCATCGCTAAAGACACCATTCACTTCCACTCACATCACATCACACCACTCCAAATGCGCCACTATTTAGTTTAACCAAAGTACTATAATTTTGCATGGCTCAAAAAAACTTTAGAATCACATAAAACAATCTTTAATTAATTATGTAAGTGTAGTGTACATCCATATGCATTATAAAGTACATGTGTCACATTTGACTAACAAGTTTTCAGTGATCCCTGATGTTTCAATTATTATTATTTTTAACTATAAACTATATTAACATTACAAGCATTGATGGTAAGAGGTTACTTTGGGCTACCATGTCATTTTATACATTTTAAAGCTAATATTTTCAATAAAACTTAACATGTCTTAAACGTGTTAATATTGGGCCATCAGTCTCATTTTGTGTCAATCCAAGCTTAACTTTGTTCTGGTAAAAAACGTAATGATTTGGTAAACATATATTTTTTTATGAAGCAGCATGAATTAAAAAACCCCTGTTATAAGCCTTTTAACTTTATTCTATTGGTAATGATCTTTGAAAACACTTATGTCCAATGTATGTCTCAAATTTCGGATTGCATGATTAATTCCTAATATGAACATGAAATGAGTACTTATGCAAAACAATCTCCTCAAACTAACTCTATTAAACATGATTGTTGTAAAGTATAGTCTGTATTTCTTTGCTTTGGTTGATGGAGTAGGGACATGATTTATTTCTGCAGTTCATTGTATTTCATTTGAATAAGAATGAGATATAGCTTTATTTTGATGTTTCCCATGCCCAGGAGCTGTTAGTTCTTTTTTTATTAATCTGTTCTCTCACAAAAAATACAATCATGAATAGATTTGTTCCAGCATTAGAACATTGGACTGTAATTCAATCTAACGCAGCAGGATGAGGTGTGGAAGCTTCATTAGCAAATTCAATCTTGTTTGTTGTTTAATTTTTTCTCCTGTTTTGGTATTCTACAGTATTTACAAAAAAAATATATATATATCATTTAAAAGTACATTTACACTTTCAACAATAACCAAAAGGATATAGAGGATAAAACGTTGGACACAAGTGGTTTAAAGGAAATTGACTTGGCTTCAGGGGTGAGGTCCAGAGTCACAGGGGAGCTGCTCGGAGTAGAGTCGCTGTTCCTCCTCATTGAGAGAATTCATGAAGTGGCTTTTGCCTGGTAGTAGGCCTTAGAGACGAGGAACGCTGGGATACCCAATGAGGGATAAACTGGAGGAGGTGTGTGTGCGTGTGTATGGGAAGTCGATCAGAGAGTACTTATCTGCTCAGACTGCTGCCTCTGCATGCAGGCCCCAGATAAAGCACAAGAAAATAGATGGATGGATGAGTTTGACTAGAGGCCTGTTGTTTCTCTGAGGCATCCAATTTTATGGAGCAAAGCAAACAAAACTTTTTTTCAACCACATTTTAACCACAGTGACTTCATGTTTGCCATTCTAAGCTTCTACCCTCGAGTATGAACCTTTAGCAGCTTGTAAAGACTATGTATATACAAAGGTACAGTATGCAGCGGGATACTGGACGTTGTAGAGTTTTGTCTTGTCGCTGATCCACTGCAGTCAAACTGTTGCATTGCTTCGTGCTCAGACTGCTCTTGTCTCATTGTTATTCCCGACACATGGGCGAGTGTGTGTGAGAGAAAGGTTTGTGTGGGAGAGACAGCAGCGATTCCAGCCCTAAAGACACACAACAGTACAGTAAAATACAAGAAGCCATGGGTTAGATATGTCTTTTATTTTACGTGTTGTTACTATCTTGGTCTTGCATATAATTATGGGTACTAAAATGGATTCCTGGCGAGTTACATAGAAAGTGTGTCTCGTGAAAAAAAGTAATTGTTTATAAGGCAAGACTTATCTTCAACCAATTAACACTGGTATAATGTTAAATATCAAACTAATAATGATTTAACTATGTATTTTAAGGTGTGCTAAAAATATATGGTTTTAGATATACAGTGCCTTAAAAGTATTAATACACCTTGAACTTTTGTATATTTTGTCAGGTTTACAACCATAAACATAAAGATTGGATTTTGATGATTTTCTACTGAAAGTTCACACACAAGTAACAGAGAACTGTGAAGTGAAAACAAAATGACACATGATTCTGTTATCTAAAAAATAAAACAAAACAAAATAGAAAACCCATTTTTTTATTTCATAATATTGATTTTTTTTATCTATCCTATAATGTATTGTTTAGAAATATATTGACTTAAAAGTTCCCTTTATCTAGACATGTATTGTGTCATGCCATGTGTATCGAGATACACACCCCTATTTGTAACTATTATTCCATCCATTAATTCCTATCCAGTGTTTTATTTACAAATAATGGAAGTACAAACTTTGTGCTATTATACTTAGACAATCCTCCTGAACACACAGTACTTGTAACACAACAGTGAGTGTGCACTGGGAGCTTTCCTTTGAGAAAGGAAAAGGGAAATTGAGGATAACATGGCTGTAAACCATGGATCTATAATAATAACTGGATAGGGTATTACTAGCTTATAGCTGTCCCCCCATGGGCACAGGGGGCGCCCGTGGTACTGCAGACTTCACGTGGGCCACCCAGGAAAAAATCCTAAAGAACTCAATGTAAACTAAAACAGCTCGACCTCAGCTGACAGAGAATCTACAGCTTTCATTAAGATCGGATTTTGTGGAGATTTTAGTGTTCCTTGTCATCCTAAACTTTTTTTCTTCTTAAATCCTTCGGTTTTCTTTAAATCCACACTTTACTGCCACAAACTCTTTTTGTTTCCATCCCGCTCTGGCTCCGCTCTACCGCTACTCTGATGAACAGCTCTGATTGGTCAAAGCGCGGGCTAGCCTCTCTGTGCACGTGCATGAGAGCCACACATGCATATTTGGCGCAACGCATCATGGGAGATAATCCACTGCACAGAACCGGGAGGACCAGACAATGCCCAAATATGGGCGAGTTCCGCTAATCTCTCGGTCCACGTGTATGTCCCATGCTCTACTGAACACAATCCATTCATTTGAATAGGGCGCCACTTTGGATCACCGTGGGCTTGGTTGCTCTTGATTTTGGCTTCATTTAGTTCAAAATATCCTCTTGAAACTCTACCTTTCCAGAATAGATTTACAGCTACATTTGTTCATGAGTTGATGTGACTTTGTAAACCACTTTGAGCTACAAAGCTCACTATAAATAACATTTTGATTGATTATGTGTCTTTCAACCTCTCTCTGCTTTACCAGTTTAAAATGCATGGCAGATTATATTATCATTCCATCCACTGAATACCAATACAACTGTTTTTTGCAAACATGTTTCATCATCTTTCCTCTGCCCTCTAAACTTGTCTCCACGTCCTCATTCCTAGACGCTCCCACCGTCATGGCGGCTTCTCCTCTGACGAAAACCATGTCTCTAATCCTGTTTCGTCCTCTAGCTGCTGTGCATTGATGTCCACAAGAGGATTTCGTGTCTCGCCGAGCTGCAGGACCTGGACTACATGTCGGACGTGAACTGGGACGCGGTGCTCAGCAAACAGCTCGCTCCTGGATTCATCCCCAATGTGAGAGAGAAAGCACTTTTTTATGTTGTCATTTATCACACTATGGTGCCAGTCAAATAAAGTGGTGGTAAGAAGGTTAAGGCGATAGACAAAAAAACACAATTTTCTTGGAGTCAGACCAGGATTAGGATTTTATCACTATTCATTCTTTACATGTTGTGTGAAGCGGTAAATAAAGTAATCTGTTCCACATCATGTCATTGGTTAAATCCGCCTTATTCTCACAGTACAATACAATAATATATCTTTGTGAGTTTCTTAGATGGAAAGGGACTGTGTTTAATATGCAATCTTAGTGGTCCCGCAAAGCCAATACAAATAAATGTTTTTTGTTGTTGTCAGACTCTTCCTGCCTGCGATATATATATATAGACTATTATGATATAAAAAATATAAACAAAAGAGGCCAAAAGCAGATACAGTACATTTCACTTGACAAACTGACAATCTCAATGAAAGCCTCATTTAGATTGTCATCATATCTGATAAAGGGTAATCTGCTTGAAAATATGATGGACCCCATGTCCATATGATTTTTACAGGTTGACCTATTATCTGAAGATACATGATGTAGATCTAATGTTAATGTTATTCAAAATTAAACAATTAATTTCTGTCCCTTATAACTTGACAACATAAATATTTGTTCAAGAAACATTACACATGCAATGATCATACCAGTTTAACAAGATTGTTTCTTTTTTCTAATTCTACACAAACTCTCTTCTACTGGCTGACAATGTTGCGTACGGAGCCCCAATCAAGACAAACATATCAAACAATTTGGAAGTATATGTGTTATTTTACAATTTTCTAGTGTAAAGTTTACCAACATTTTTGTTTGTGCATAGAGCTACATAAACAGAAACGAGTGGTTCATGTTTTACCTACACACTCCAATCTACACAGTGCAAATCGACACAATCTATAGTGGGGATTTAACCACAGATTTTGGGGTACGTGCTTTCCAATTTAAAGTTCATATTTGTTGTACTGCTGTGTCTAAAACAAAGTCAAAGTATTCAAGGTTACAATAATTGACTTTTGCACGCTTGAACACTTTGCCCTTTGAGACCTTCACATAATTATGGCGTCATATCTACAACATGAAGAACATTAGGTTAAGCCCATATTTGGATTTCCCCCATGTCTTCCCAAAGGGTACAGAATACTGTTTTACTGAGAGTGACTGTGCACACTGCCCTCTGCTGGCACGCCACTCTCACAGAAAACAAAATAAATAGAAAAAAATGCAGTATCCGGCTCATCTGCTGACTAATGAGCTGCTACATAATGTGTGAGCTGTCCTACATCTGATGAGCTGCTACATAATGTGTGAACTGTCCTACATCTGTTCTGGGCGTTATACATTACAATGACAAACAGGGTCCATGGGATGCATAGAAGAGCCAGACGTCCTTGAGGGGAGGGAGATATTCGGTGAGAAGTTAACAGTTGAAAACATGGGTCTTCATAGTGAAGCTGTGATAAACCTGCGGCTGAATATAATAAGTTACATTTGTTTACGTTCTGTCAGTGGGATGTTGAGAAGAGGCCAGGTAAACCACTTCAGAGGGGAACCGCGGAGAGCAAAGACAGACTTGAGGAGCCGGTCCATATAATGCTACTGTTGTATTCTGGAAATGTTCTCGATGACAACTACTGTTGCTTCGGGGCTGGGAGCTGAATAAACACAAAATAATGAGCGTGAAGATAGCTGGAACGACTCTAATGACTTTAGCTGTTCTCAGAGAAATTCTGAAGAGCAAGGGATGGAGACAAAGTGACAGAAAACTCCAGCAATCAATGGCCGATCGACAATGAACAAATCTAATCATGAATATTATCTTGACTTACTGTAACCCTTGTAGAGTCTGTCTACATGAAACCAAAAATCCTCAAAGTTCTTCTCCTCTTCTCTAATAGAAAATTTTGACATACTGTAGGTTAAATGATTTGTTTTGAATAGGCTCTTCAGAATATGGGTTACATTATTAATAAAAGCTGTCTATTGTAAGGACTTTTAGCCATAGCTTTAATCTTCATCATTCTTCTAACTTTTTTACTGTTGTGATTTCTCTACACACTCCACTCATCATGCAATGTGTCTTTACCGCTGCATCCACAGAAACGACGGCTAAACTGTGATCCTACATTTGAGTTGGAGGAGATGATTCTGGAGTCTAAACCACTCCACAAAAAGAAGAAACGACTGGCCCGAAAAACCAAGGAACAAGGCTCAGATGGATCACCAGAGGTAAGTCCTGACATGTCTATTGTCGCCTCATTCATACAGATCCATCCAAAGAATACAGATATCTATACAATGAAAGAATCCACAGTTAGTATTTTAATAATTGTATATTTCTGTATGAAGTTTGCATGTTCTCCATGTGTCTGCGTAGATTTTCCTACAGGTGCTCCCTTATGTATCAAAGGTTATGTGTTGCTTAAGTGAATGGACGATGGTGAACTTAGGGTCTGGTGCCAGAATGGAAAAATATCAATCAATGACTTTTCACGCTGGGTGACGCAGTTCTGGGCAAAGCTAAACATTTAAATATGATTTAGTTACTAATTGGTGTTGCCTTGTGTAGGAAAGGCGCTCTACAAATTAAAGTTGATGGCTGTTTATAAATAATAAACGTACTGAAGTGTATTACTGCATTTGTATTGAGAGAATGATGCCCACATTTTGCCTGCATATTTGAGCTTTGAGGCATGACTATTGTGCCATTAGTAATTTCACAACCGCTCTCTACTTCTAACAAAAACGCAATGTATAAAATCCTGTTGAAATCTCTTTTCTCCATGTTGGTAAGTTGTACAAAACAGGATAGCATTTATTGTATTGTCAATTAGGTTTAGTCAAAAATAAGTGAATACACTTCTGCCTAAACAATCTCAGTCAGAACTATGTTTTACGCTATAAGCAAGAGTTTTTGAATTATTTTAATGTTATTTACTACTACAAAAAACTAGTTAATCTTGCCATAAGTAAGTCTTTTCAGACCTACTATGTCCATTTTTGACAAGCAATAGCCATTTTCCCACAACACCGTCTTTCACTTTGCATAGAAATAATCACTACTGCCTCTGCAGGATAGGGCGGTATCGACCCAACAGTGAAATTCGGCCTTTGTCCAATTAGGTTTTAATTACATTCTCTCTGCTGCATTAAACTTAAGTTAAAGTCTGTGTACACTTTATACTTGAAAAGTCAATAGCAAAAGACACCGGGTCTTAAAGTATAGTGCGTTGAAAATGTTTATGAGGCTCAGCTGTAATAGAGGTGAGGAGGTTTAGTGCTCTGTGGTAATGAATGTGACACATGCAACTGCTGAGGAAAACACACCATCTATGTAAGGTCGACAAATGCAGAAGCAGCAAAAGTTTTAGATCAAAAGTAATGGCTCTTGTCAAGCTGATATTGATTTGAGTACACATTTTAAAATAAAAGTTAGATAAGTTGTGCCAATAGGATTAGGTTTTTTTTAAGTTACCGTTCCCTTCTTTCTAATTGGACTAAACATAGTTATATCATATATTGCCCATTAGCATGTCAAATACGCAGCCCCTTTATTTTCATTTATTTTATTTTCATCATGTGTGGTTGATATGACTACTTCCATCCATCCATCCATTTTCTTCCCCTTAATCCATTTCTGGGTTTGGGGGGTGGCAGTCAGAGCTTGTGTGCTGTACCCAGTCCACATAGCCCCAGCCCCTCACTGATCCTCCTGCAGGTGGTGAGTCCACATGAGCCTTGATTGAAGCCGGGGGCTTCAGGAAAAGTGGGGTTAAGTGTCTTGCCCAAGGACACAACGACAGCAGACATCAGAGGGAGTCATGAAGCAGGTCTCGTGGTGGGCTCAAACCCACAACCTTCAGGCTCAAAGGCCAATGCTCTTGCAACTGAGCCACTGTCGCTGTCACTGAAATATGGCTAATAAGGCATATATCTATTTTAAAGAAAGTATTCTCAAGAAAACCACATCATTAATTCTATTGTCCACTTTTTGTTCAGTCTAAACATAACAGGGGACACACAAATACCATCCCATATAAATATAGAAAAGTCAGCACACATGGAAAATATTAGCTTCAAATCAACTTTTCCACCTGTTTTCATGTGTGTTTATATCTTTGTTGGTACAAAAATATTGACATTTTCAATTTACACTATTTACTGGAATATCAAATGTACCTCTGTTTTCTATTTGTGCACATCAACTGTAATCACAAAATGCAACAAATCCTTCCTCAGCTCCATATGACAATGATAAATCACTTGTGCGCTGTCAGATATGTAGCTCGCGAAAATTCAATTTAGAAGACGTCAGCCCAAGCTACCCCTTCCGGGCCGACTCACATCCTCAGCCTATGGCGCAGCAAACGCCCCCTTCCAATCACACCGTGCCGGACAGACCAGCCGCTTAAAAGCGGAGCAACTCCCATTTTACGGCCTCCCGAAGCCTCGCATGCTCCTGCAGCCTCGCAAAGAATCGTTCTGGAGGAATCGCTTTGTCTACTCACGCTTACTCGTGCGTGTCCCTGCTGTCCTCTGTCTTGCTGCGTGTGGTCTGCTCCTCCTGTGGCTGCACCTGCTGCGGGTCTCGTGCGTGGTCCGTGGGTCTTTGCCGCTCTCCTCCTTTGCGGGCTCTTTCCGCGGGTTTGCCGCTGCTCGTCTCGTCGCAGCCTGCTGCTGCATACGGCCGGTCTAGCCCGTTGCGGTGGGAGCCGTGCGCATCCCTGTCTCCTTGTGCCGGTACGGCGTGGTCCCGTCGTGTTGTCCCTTGTCTTCTGGCGCTGTGGGTAAAGTATGAGATCCGCGGACGGTTTTTCCCCTCGCTTTGTACTGCAGGCTCAGTTGGCCCAGTGCTGGTGGGCAGGCTTCAGTTTAAAGCCCTCGCATTAGTCTGCAGGCCCTCTTTAACCAAGCTCCGTTAAATCTTCACTCTGACTGCAAGCTCCGTTTAATCCCTCACATTGGAATGCAAGACCTCAGTTTTAATCGCTCTCATTGGACCGCATGCTCTCAGTTTTAATCCCTCACTTTGGCCTGCGGGCTCTGTTTAAATCCCTCTCTGGACTGCAAGCGCTGTTTAAATCCCTCATATTGGACCGCATGCTCTGTTTTAATCCCTCACTTTGGCCTGCAGGCTCTGTTTAAATCCCTCTCTTTGGACTGCAAGCGCTGTTTAAATTATATCTGGAACTACTTATACCTGGAACTGTTGTACCGTATCTGGAACTGCCTATATATGGAACTGCCTATATATGGAACCGCTATATTGGAACTGCTCATATGGTACGGCTATACATGGAACTGCATACATGGTACTGCCTATATCTGGAACGCTATATTTAAAAAAAAAAAAAAAATATAAAATTATAAATAACTATAAATAATTATAAATAACTATAAATAAATATAAATAAACATAAATAAATATAAATAAATATAAATAAATAAATAAATAAATAAAACTGCAGGCCTGTTGGATCCCTCTCACTGGACTGTAATCTCTCAGTTTAAACTCCTCACTTGGACTGCGGGCTCAGTTAATCCCTCACTTGGACCGTAAAACTGTTAAATCCCTCACACCGGACTGCAGCTCTCGGCTTAATCCCTCATTGGACTACAAGCTCTCTGTTATAAATCCCTCTTTAGGACTGCGGGCAACGTTGAATCCCTCTCTCTGGACTACAAGCTCTCAGTTTAATCCTTCACCTTGGACTACAGGTCATTTAACTCCCTCACACCGGACTGCAGGCTCTCAGTTAAACGCCTCACTTGGACTACGGGCCCGGTTTTAATACCTCACTCTGGACTGCAAACTCTATTAAATTCCTCACATTGGACTGCAAGCTCTGTTTAGGTCCCTCGGCGTCTCGTGTCCCGCAACCTCTTCCCGGCTCTCCGTGAGCCCCAAGTCGGCACGCGGCTCGGGCGCGGGAGGTGTCCGTGTGCTACGTCATTGGCCCCTTCTCTCCGTCTCGCTCTAACCCGACGGGCATCGCCACCCGCAAGCACTCCAGGAAGAAGCGTCTCATATTCGTCCTCTCCTGTCCCCGCTCCGGGCCCGCCCGAGCATCAACAGCCCCTTCCCTCCAGCGCCCCTCTCTTGCGGAGGCGCCGTGCTGGATCCTGCTAAATTACGTACGGCTCCCCTCCGTCCCGCATCTCCTCGACGACTTTCTCGTGGTAGACCCACCCTCGGACGGCTCCGGGAGCTCTCTCCGCAACCTCAAGCTCGCTTTCTACGCCCTGGGAGTCCCCCTCTCCGAGGAGAAGACCACAGGCCCGCCACAGCTCTAGAGTTTCTCGGCATCCGCCTCGACACGCGCGCCACGGAGGCCTCCCTCCCGCTGGGCAAACTCGAGCGCATCCGCGCTATCTCCCGGTCTGCCCCGTCATCCCTGTCACTTTCGAAGCGTCAGTTGCTCTCCCTTCTCGGGCGTCTTGATTACGCCATCCGCATAATTCCTCAAGGTCGCTCCTTCATCTCCAGACTCCTCTCCCTCGCCGGCTCCGTCTCCTCCCTCAACGACGCGGTCTGCCTGGCCGCGGGGTGCCGCTCCGACCTGGCGTTCTGGTCCCGCCTGCTGAGCCGTTGGAATGGCGTCTCCTTTTTTCTACAGCAACGTCGTCCTATCCTCGGACGCCCTGCGGTTCTTCACGGACGCAGCCCCGTCCGTGGGTTTTGGGGGATTCTTTCAGGACCAGTGGTTCGCCGGGCCCTGGCCCGACGCCTTCCCTCAAAACATCTCCTCCGCGCTCCACGAGATATATCCCGTGACCGTAGCCTGCGCGCTGTGGAGCCACATGTGGCAGAGGAAAAGGATTTCCGTGATGTGCGACAACCTCGACGTTGTCGAGGTTCATCCTCTCCCCAAATCATGTCTTTTCTTAGACGTATCACATGGCTCTCAGTCCTGAACAATTTTATTATCACTGCTCGTCGCGTCCCTGGTCACCTTAATTGTCTCGCTGATTCTCTCTCTCGTTTCAAATTCCAGGAGTTCCGACGCCGCTGCCCTTCTGCCAACCCATCGCCATGCCAGATCCCCTGCATGGAATCCCTCGCCCCGGACTAATCCCTCCGTCTCTTCGCCTCCTCATCTCCTCCGCGGCATCCTACATGAAGATGGGCCTCTCACCTTCCACTCTGAAATCATACAGTCTCGCTTGATCCATGATGCACTACACTCGCCTCCGCTCACGGAAAGGAGATCTCAACGGACCGTCATTCTCACTCTCGATAACCTCCCGATGTCCTCCAACTGGGTCAGAGCCCAACTCAAGTCCGTACTGCTGCTTTGTAACCTGTCTCCCTATCTCTACACAGCCCACTCCTTCAGAATAGGCGCCGCCACGCGTGCCGCGTCCCTGGGTCTCCCCCATTCTGCCCTTCAGCAGTTGGGCCGCTGGTCATCATCGGCCCTCTCCTCATACATCAGGCCTGACACTCCGACTATCCTCGCAGCCCAGCGCCTCTTGGCATCTCCATAAATCACTCGCAAAACTCCTGGTGGCGGCAGCAGCTGAGTATCCGCATAACGATCACAGCATATAACGGTCACAACAGATAGCGGTCATAGCTTAGTGATAGCGGTCATAGCGTCAGTGATAGCGGTCATAGCGTCAGTGATAGCGGTCATAGCGTCAGTGATAGCGGTCATAGCGTTAGTGGTAGCGGTCACAGCGTTAGTGTTAGCGGTCACAGCATAGCAAAAAATGGTTAGCGCATAAACGGTTCACAGCATAGAGATAGCGGTCACAGCATAGCGATAGCGGTCACAGCATAGCGATAGCGGTCACAGCATAGCGATAGCGGTCACAGCATAGCGATAGCGGTCACAGCATAGCGATAGCGGTCACAGCATAGTGATAGCGGTCACAGCATAGAGCAGCCACGACGTCTGTCCCCTGCAAACCAGGCTGCAAAACCCCATCAACTCACAGCCTTTTTGGGGATTCTACGCGCCCCAGCGCAGGAGCCTCCCCTAACTGAAGGCCGCACCGGGGCCTAGGGCGCCAAACCACCTCTCATTAAAATACTCAAAAGCTTTCTTGTTTCACGTCTCTCCAAATTGAAATGTAGCTCGCGAAAATTCAATTTAGAAGACGTCAGCCCAAGCTACCCCTTCCGGGCCGACTCACATCCTCAGCCTATGGCGCAGCAAACGCCCCCTTCCAATCACACCGTGCCGGACAGACCAGCCGCTTAAAAGCGGAGCAACTCCCATTTTACGGCCTCCCGAAGCCTCGCATCCACCGCCTCCCCTCCTCCTCCTCTTCACCCTGCCTCCAACCTGCCTTCAAACCTGCTTCACGCTGCCAAGATGCCGCCACCAGTACCTAGGCCCCGGGGGGATTCTACGCGCCCCAGCGCAGGAGCCTCCCCTAACTGAAGGCCGCACCGGGGCCTAGGGCGCCAAACCACCTCTCATTAAAATACTCAAAAGCTTTCTTGTTTCACGTCTCTCCAAATTGAATTGCCCTGTGACCATGTTTGCTCTACATCTTCTTTGCCTTATCATATCTCCATTTGGTTTGAGGACCAGTGGCAGTGTTTGTGATGGATGCATACAGCACGATAAAAACAGAGCCTGCTGTATGCTCTGTTTATGGAAACTGCTCGAGTAAAGCAAATGATCAATATTGAATGAACAAAGCCATCTGCCAAACGCTGTTCCCTCTGCTCTTTATACAACTCCATTTCAGTTCAACGCTCAGGCCTTTTTAATCTTACATTAGTTATTTTGTGTCTTTGCAACAGTGTAAATGAAGGGTGTCCAAACTTATTTCATCAATTGCAGCATGTTGAAAGATCAAATAAATCAATCTATATTTAGTTTAGTTTAATCTTTATTTGAAAGGGACAATGCGCAGGAACATTAAGAAATTTGTATACCTTGGATTTTATATGAAATTTGTGTGGAGTTTGCATGTGTTTCCCTGTTTCTGGGTGAGTCTCCTTCTAACGCCTGACTGGTCAATGGAAGGACAAATGTCCCTATGGGGAAAATAAAGTATACCATAACCCATTGGTTTAGCTATCCAGTTAGCCGCGGTTGTGGCTGCGGCTGCAGCAGTATTAGTTGTAGAAGTAGACAATGCTATGAAGCTACGCCAGTATCGTGTTGATTGATAAGGGTGGCAGTTCTCATCTCTTATATGTTTTATGTATCGGTTTTGTGACATCCTAAATCCCAATCTTGTATTATTTTTGCACAGAAGTGTGGTTTTAAATCTGCTCTGCAGTCTGCACGCTGCTGCTTAGTGCGTTGACACAAACTTGGCTGCGTACAAAGCTGAAGATGTGCTCCGACTGTAAACATTTGTTCCTGTCTCTTACCTCCAAGAAATTATGTCATTCTCAATAACAACTGATTGGAAGTGATTAAGAAGAGCTATACCTTCAGATCAGGGAGTGGTGTCTTTAATGAGCTTTCATATAATACATGAATTTCAAAGTTAAATACGTCAGAGGCCAAAAAAATCTAATTTTCTACAAGCAGAGGGCCGTACTGGTCCAATGTTTTTTAAAACATACTAAAACGATTGCATATAACGTATTTAACCAAGACCTAACACAGTGTATCGTATTTTATTTAATAGTTAACTGAATAATCCAATATCTTTGTATGGCTCTGTCAGGCTCAGACAAAAGCAAACTTCTTTCAAAGAGAAAACATGAGAATGGTCCAAAATGTTCTTATGGCTCTGTCAAATATCATCCCGGGGGCCAAGATCATTTATTCGCAGGCCGGATCTGGCCCCCGGGCCTTGACTTTGACACCCGTGAAATACAATGTTATAAAAACTAAATGATGACACCAAGTTGGATTTTTTTTAAAGGTTTGTAAGACATACAGTAGCAGTATGTTGATATATGAATAACAATACACTTAAACCTTTATAGGAAAATAATTTGATAATATTTGATATATACTGACAAAAGAACTTTGTAAGTCTGACTGTTAATTGTTACCAAAGTTACCAGTAATACATTTAAACTATAAGCTCTCAGGAATGTTCCCATGAAGGCAGCCTATGAACATATTGATTGTACGTGTAAGTGAAGTCCATTTATTTTTTGTGAAGCCCTAATTCAAAACAGCAGTTGCTGTGGAGGACTTTGCAAAGTTGTCGATTTGCCAACAACAGATCAGAGAATCAAGCCGATTGAACACTTGAAATGCAATAATAACAAACACATAGGGAGCGAGATAACCTATGTCCATAAATGTTAATAAATGTGCCTAAATGTCCTTAAATGTCCTGGATCATCACTGCCCTTGAGACCCTCCTACATCAACAAGGAAGGACTCAAAAAACCCAGTGGAAAAAAGTGATAAACCTCAGGCAGGCCCATACTGAGAGATGGATCCGCTCCCATGGACAGACAGGCAGTAGATCAAGGACTCAGGCTGTAAAACCAGGACTGAGGCTGTCGATCGAGATCTCAGTCCTCTATAACCCGCTCTCACCACCACACTTCTCTCTTTCACCTCATCTTTCCCTGGGCCCTGCTTGAGCTCCTGGCCCACGTTGAACTAGGACCCGCCACCCACTGCTCCCACACCTGCCCCCAGCCCCGTCCTGCAGTTTGATCGACAGCTATGGGACCTCAGAGTTCATTTGACTCCACGAAACTCCCCGCAGCCAAAAACCCTCTGACATAACGGGGGCACTTCTATTAGCATGTCTCCTGCCCTGCCCCAACTCTGCACCAGGCCCAAAGGCATTTGGTGTTTTCTCAGTGACACTTTACAATGTCATGGTGATGATAAATTTGTATAATTGCCCCACGGGAGAACAAGGAGCACCTGTCGTTTTGTACTTGGCCTTGAAAAAAGGGTTTTCGCATGTGGGACAAGATAGGGCACTTTTTGGGAGGTTATAAATAGTCGACACAGCTGAATGGGTCTGGGGTTTGTTAAGAAAAATTTAGCAGATGTTTAGACACCTGAGGTAAAAATGTTTTCCCCGAAATTCTCAACATTTAATCAGTAGTCCTCCAGCGCTCTCTACTGCAGGGCACCTTTTGTGTTTTTCACATCAATGAACTGAAACTAATGTGCAAATGAATGCCCGAAGTAAACATCATGTTGCGTGTTTACATTTGCCAAATGTTTGCTTATGAATATGTATGATGCCAATTTTATTTACAATTACAGATAAAATGTATGAGTAATAGGGAAATGTTACGAGAGGGCATTGAAAGCATTGAAATCCAAAGGTCTGGAGCTTCAAACGGCTTCTCTGCTGGGCGCACAGAGGCGGGATTCAATTACCTGTTTGAGAATCCCATCAAATTGAGCGAGTTTTTTTAAGTGTGTTTTTTGAACGCCATGGAAGATTCCAATAAGTAAGCAATCTTTATTTATAGAGCGCCTTTCACAGATTCACAAAGCGCTTTACAATTGGGGGCATTTGTCTCTCACTCCACACAGAAATGGCCGTGGGGTCGCCATAAAAGAGGCGCATTCCAGACCTATTGTACATGTTTTTAGTGGTAGGAGAAACCGGAGTACACGGAGTAAACCTACACAGACACAGAGAGAACATGCAAACTCCACTCAGAAAGGCCCTGTTCAGACCAGAATCCGAACCCAGGACCTTCTTGCTGAGAGTGCTATTCACTCAGCCATCACTATTAATAACTATTTACCAAATAATTCTTGTTTTGTGTTCTTTTCAACAGAATGGACAGCTGCAGCAGCGTCTGGATAACGTCCAGAGAGACTTCATCATCTTTAACAGAGAAAAGTAAGAGCAGGACAGACCCATTAACTGAGATGTGGATAGAAATGTACAGTAGATCTAGTTAATTCAAAAGGGACAATGTATATTCATGTAAAATGTAAAATGCCAGAATTAGTCTACTTCCCATGAGGAATCAGCCTACTTCTGGCAGAACAATTGGATAAAAACAGCCAAATGCAAGAGAAGAACAATTGGAAAGACTTGGAAGGTCTTTCCAAAGATCTTCAATTGGATTTATAGGTCTGGCATTTCTAGATTTACGATATATAAATGTGCCTTCTCCTTTCCCATAGATCAAAGAAGACCACTCTCGACTCTGAAACGACAGAGTTGTCCATCACAGAGAAAAACAAGGCCATAGAGGACGGACAAAACAACAACGTGGAGCCGGTGTCTTACGTATCAGGATAGACATTTTTCCTACCGCAACAAACTCAGACTTCAACAGCACAAACCTGGTCCATGAAAAACTCACCTCCACTGGACAGCACCGGAAAGCACTGGACCGCTCTGGACACCACTGTGCGTCACTCACTCCCAAAAAAAACGTCAACATTACATGGACATTAGCATCTCTGCACAGACACGCTCAAGACTAGTATGCATCTCGCTGTTGCTTCTTGCGTGAAAATGAAGGACTAAACCAAACTAAACAGACTTTTGAAGAAAGCAAAAAAAAATATGGAAATCTGGATTACATAGTGCAAAAAAATGATGAAAAAGCCACAATACAGACACGTTTTCATTCTTACAGACCTAATTTTAAACTGGAATGGCAATTGAGTTGTAAGCAACGGCATTTTGACCTTCCTACTAACCGTAGACTGAAAGTTTAGCTAGCAACGTAAGCTGTAGCATATAACATAATTATTGAATGTTGTGGGAAAAGTTTTTTTTAGAAAGAATATAGACTGGATTTAGCACATTTCTAGATCATAATGGTTTTACTTTTGGCGCAGTGAGGCTTTGGAGTTTGCATGCTCTTCTCGTGTCTTATCCTATTGTAAAAAGAAAAAAGACAAAAATTAATATTCATATTTTTTTCAATGGCTTCAATGCATTTAATTTTGGAATTGGCTTAAATTTGAGCTCAAATTCTCAAAAAGCAGCTACAAAAAGCCACATCTACCAGTGCACTGTAACTATTTTTGTGGAGGGTCTCCCAACTTGTCTCCTTGGAAAGAACTATTTTTCAGTAAACTAAATGAAGCCATTTAGAGTCTACATAGATAATAAAGTGAGCAATTATGAAAATCACATCACGTCATTTCATTATTTGTGATAATTGCTACATATGTTTATAACACTCAGAAAATAGCAAAATGGGGATGTATGCCATATTTTGTTACATACTGTACCAGGAATACGAAGCAACCTTCCACCAAAAAGGTTACGTATACTGCACTTGTATCAACTTTTTGCATTCCATATTAAAAAAAAAAATATTCTTTCAAACTAAAAAATGCAAAAAAACCTTAAATAAAGTAAGCATAGGCACTAGGATAGATCAAAGGGAATCGCTGCCAGGTAGCATCAATAGCTAGACATTAGAAGGTTAGGCGAGCAAAGAAAGTAGCAGCGTTTTAGTAACGTGTGGAAAATATTGCATCAGTCGAAGACACAGGCTGAAGCCGGAGTCTTACATTTACTATGCTCAGCCGTAGCAGTAGCTTACGACGGAACAAAGAGACTATTTTGCGCTGTTTTGTCTCTTAAATGAAATAAAGAGATGTAGAAGTTATGGAGGTCATAATTTGTCCTGCACAGAACCCGCTTTTGCACACGCTTCACCCACCGTAGCATCGACTCTGCACATTTAGATCTCTAAAGCTGTGAGTGATTCTGCCCCTCTAGTGGGAATGCTTTATAGACCGTTAATCTGCTCATGTTGTCCCTTGTGGTCGTTGTCTGCTTTGGAAATCTCATTTGTGTCCAAAGACTAAATGACTTTTTGTATTTTTTATTTTTTTGTTCTATTCTCAGCACTGGTTATGACACGGTCTATGTGCCACTTTATAAATGTGTGTATTTTCATCCATGGCTCATCCAGTGGCTGAAATAGTTAACACTTATTTTTCTCTTTTCAATTATGCACACACACAACGTGTTGATGCATTGCGATATTGGAGAAAACTATTTTACATTGGAAATTCTCAAGACTCAGCTAGAACCAGTGGGGTCTTTGCCCTTAATGGTTACAATGGCTCACTAACTCAGTTCTGCCAGGAAACCGTTCCCCAAGCCCAAACTTTAAATTAACTGCTTCTAAACCTTACTATGGCCTAAAATTGGAAGAAAAAAAAATGCATTGTCACTTGCCAGCATAGCCACCAATGCAAAGTTGCTCCTTTTCATACTATAGGGGTGCACTATGTTCTCCTCCAGACCTGCTCCTCTCATTACTTGCCTTGAAAAAAATCCCCCCCACCCCCACACACACACACACACACACACACACACACACACACACACACACACACACTCAGAGTTGGCTAGCTACAAACTTGTGATGGGACACTGACATCTCACCTCATTAAAATTGTGAGGCTATGGCAGCATATTGTGAAGGTGTGAGTTTCATAATGCAGATAACACATGCTTGTGTTTCTGCAACACACAATAATCTTGGCAAAAGAAATCAACAGATCTACTGTATGTAACCGGACACAATTAAGTGAAAGAAACGTGACTATTTCATCTCGGTTATTTACTTTATTTGCGCCGTGATAGACATAGGTTAAACACAAAAACAAGGCTGCATTATAGTGCAAACCTATGAAGTAAAAGAAGTCTGTAGAAACCTGCTCTTTCGATTATGTGATTATTATTATCATTATTAACTCTAGTCTGAACTTGCAGTCACTTTCTGGCATTTATTCAGATCCAAGGTTTTCTTAACACGTACATATGCTAATCAGGAGGTGTAAATTATGCAAAACAATAACAAACTAGAAGGCTTTGCACTTTTACATTTTAAATTACAGAGTTCTCCTGTATTATTAAGTATTAGATGCAAACATGGATTAATTTGTACTTTGTCATTTTCTAATGGTTTTTTCTTAAATCTTAATTTACTGATACTGCTTTTGCAACAATTGGAACACTCCACTGAAACACTTTTCTCCAATATCGCCCAGTTTGTTCATACCACTGTTGTCTGGAATATATTGCATTTCTTTCTCTTCTTTGTCGTTGGTGTTTAACTAAAGTAGGAATCAAAAAGAGAATCCATCAAACGTTCTCCAGTTGAGCCAATACTAGAAGTTTGTACAATTTTGCCTTACATTGTACACATGGCACATATATATATTCCTGTAATTACTCACCTGCTTTAGCAATGAGCTTTTTAAAAAGACATTTCTACTATTGTGTTATGAGTCTGTGAAATAATCCCCATTGTGTCACTTATATTTCAAAACTTTTAGCACTTTTTACTGATCCTATGTGTTGCTGTTGTGTTTTTTCCAAAGATTTCCTATAAAATGTAAGAACGCAGCGATAGATAAGGGGAGTTTATATGAAGCAAATACGTTTACACTGGAGAGGAAAACTGGATGGGAATAGCATTTATAGGCAATTAGATTTTGACGTCTTACATTTGTGAATTTCATTGTGGTCCGTCAGTTGTCACTCTGTGTTAATTGTATTGAAATGTGATGAAGGTGTGCCTTAAATAATAACTTTGATTTTCTGAACCAAATGTTTGCTTTGTGTCGTTTTTTTTCTTCTCAGCATTGAACCACAATTGTCACCTACTTTTCAGTTGGAAGGGAAGGGATGATAAGAATCAACAGAGATCCAGGGAAGAGTACTGCTGCCCCCTAGTGGAAGCTTTCTTGTATGGCAGATGTATTAATTAACGCAGCCATTCCCAAACTCAGTAACACCGAGGCCCCCTTAACTCATTGTGTCCCATTGACGCACAAATACGTCAAAGCAAATAGTAACGTCGTGTGCCATTGACGCATTAATCCGTCAATTGCCTTTTTCGCTATTTTCACGTTCCCAGATGTCTATTGTATCTAATATATATGGGGATGACTTGAGACCATATTTTATCGAGCCAGCAGGTGGCAGCATTGCTCTCTGAATGGTTTCAAAACATGTAGGTGCACATGCTGTGCCTCTTTTTTCTCAACTTTCTGGTGATTTCTGGTGATTTCAGTAAAACTTCCCTCTACTCGACGGAGGATTACAGGGGAACGGAAAAAGCTATAAACAAAATTCTTTTTGCTGATGAAAGTAGACAGTCCATTCTTTTAGAATCTGGTGTTGGATTTCAGATAGTCATAGTACACAATATTCTGTGGGTCTTTAAAAATCAGTAAAAATCATCAGAAATGGCTGGCACTGTGGGAGTACCTGTTCTGAAATAGGCTGGCATAAAATCTGACGGGTCTGCGTGGCCCCCCAAAATAATAACCAAGAAGACAACATTAAGAATAGGCTCTTCTGGTTATTTTATTTTGTGGAAATAGCCTCTGCTACAAACATTGTAATACAAAAATGATTACAGTGGCTTATTCAAGTCAAATAATGAACACAAATATTTTAATATTACAAACAAAACATTATACATTTAACATTAAATAATTATATTATTTTTTTATTTTTTTTATGACCTCCCGCGGCCCCCCTGCAGTACCCTCGCGGCCCACCAGGGGGCCGCGGACCCCACTTTGGGAGACACTGAATTAACGAATCTAAAAGCTCTGCAATCAAAATAATACATATCTTTGAAATATAGATATGATACACACTTGAAACTTTGTCTTGTGCATAGAAATCCTAAAGCTTATGGGCTGTCACAAATGTCCATTCATCCATTTTCCTCTTGATCTGCTTTATTCCCTCTCCATACACACTTCCTCCAGGTCATCAGGCGGAATCGCAAGCTGTTCCAGGCCAGCTGAGAGACATAGTCCCTCCAGCGTGTCCTGGTTCAAAATATAACAGTGGCTATACTCTGAGCTCTTCCCATATGAGTAAATTATTGTTGGGTATTTGTAACGTTTTCGTTGGTAATAATGATAATACTAATAATTCATAATACTTAGCACTTTTGATGCATTATTCACACACTCTATATCATGTTGTTGACCTGAGGCAGACCGAGGCTACTAATCTGAGCCATCAGCCCCTCCGACCATCCACCACATCATTCATCCACTTGACTCATTCTAGGCCATGTGGATGAAGAGTCCTGCGTCAGGACAATACCAGCTTGACAGTATTGAATTCGATGCCTTTACTGATAAAAAAAAACACTAAATTCATACGTTGGTTCAGCTCTCCTCTCCACAGATATGACTTGGAACTTAATCTAGTGAAATTGCCATACTGTCACACTGTGGACTATTTAGGAAAAAAATGTAGATGAATCAACAAACTTTTTTGAGGACAGTTAATGTAAGACTACTCTAAATGTGGCATTAATTTGGGGTTCATAGAGAAACCTTTTTTTTTTTTTTCCTGCAAATTTTGAAGCAAATTCTGGGGGGAAAATAGAGAAAGAAAGACTTCAGTTCATAAGTTGCAACTCAATTTATTCAGGAACAATTCATACACTTCGACACTTCATTTGACCTGTTATAGCTCCGGGTTTGACACATCTGTAAAAAAGAAACATTTTTAAAAAAACATAAATATCTCCGATGCCAATCCTGGGCCTGGATCCACTGAAACTTCCTGCATGAAGCACAAAATTACAAAGAATATAGTTTACAAAAGAGCACCATTGTCAATCCCAGCCACTTTATCAGTCATGGCTGCGTTATTGGACCAATATGTTGCTTAATGCCTTATCGCACGGAAAATGAGAGAATAAAAGCCCAAGAAGTTTGGTAAGTTCATTTTGTCGGCTAAGATTTTTCAGTCCATTTGTTCACGAGTGTAACTTAATTTGTGGCTTAAACAATTGTCATCATTTAAAGCAGAGAAAAACAGAGTAAAGTTGTGTGTACGTGTAAGCAGGTCTCTCTATTGTAACATGTTATTATTTGCAAAACAGCTCATAGATGCGTTAGTAGGAAAAAAAGTCACCCCCATCGGTGTAATGGCGTGACTTGACGTAAATGAAGCTATGAGAAATGCAAAGGTTCACTTTTTTTTCTTTTCCTAAAGCTTTCTTACATACAATACAGATCCATTATCACAATATAGAGAAAATACCAGTGTGTAAAACAAAAATCAGATATAGATTCCTAGTTTGTGTCACAATGCACACTACTAAGTCCCATTCCATAACCGATTTGCTTTTTAGACACTGGCATATTTCTTGGTTCCAAACCCCCTGAAAACAGTCTTCACACAGCTACATCACATCTACTGCACGTACGACGCCATCTAGAGCTAATCCATTGGTACTGCATGACTTTGAGACGAGTGATAAATTCTGCAGACTGAGAGTGAGCAAGAGCAAAGAAGGGGTGACGCTGCAAAAAGCCAGACAGGAAAAGATGTGTCCATTTGAGAAAGGAGACTACTTTTTTCGCATTGACAATACACAAAAGATGATGAAATAATGAAATATCCATCATGACCAAGCAAGAATTGATGTGCGCCTTTCAAATTTTGAATGCCAAGACAATATCTCGAGATGTATTGTGATAATTTGACTTGAATTTGCAGCAACACACTATATATATCCGTATTAGGATAAAGTTTTAATTACTGAGGAACACAAGGTTTATTAAGGGAGTTAAAGAGTATTTAAAGTACTACAGTAGTTACTTATCCTGATTTATCATTCATCAACTGTTTATTTGTTGAGTTTAATCTTCATTCATGCTTTTTGAAGTCTATTTAAGGTGTAATCAGTAAAAAAAAAAAAAAAGTGATATTGAGTGGAATAATATCTACAAAAACCCCTTTTTATAACTCCAATGATTTGACTATATATGGAAAAAGTCCTCCTGTTCTCAGCTGGACATGGTAGCATATGTAGCAGGTAAGGCATGAGGATTCAGTGTTCTGCTCTTTTTTTTTTTTTTTTTTACGTTTTGAAAGTACGCATGATCATTATAGCATTCATTCACCATCATTAAGCCTAAACGTGAAACTACGGCAGACAATCCTTTGAGTTTAACTGAGAGACGTGATGTTGGAGCGGCCACCGGGAGGCACTGTGACGCGGCGTCCAGCTGGCCTGATGGGGAGATCGTCTGGAGTGGTGGGACCTGGGAACACAGAAGAAGAAACAAAAGAAGAAATAAATATAGGATTGGACCATGGAACTGCACTGTGGCAACATGATTATTAAGTTTAAATAAGTCACATTTGTCATAGAATTTATCTCAGACATGTTTTCTGGTCTTCTTAATAAGATAACAGAAAAGTGCATGGAAACCAGAAGCCAAAATCTCTCAAAAAGTTGTAGTATGATACATTGTTTTACACAAAGACTATTTTATTTGTACTCAATATAGACTTTTTTAATCTCTCTTGTTTCAACATAATGTTAAGCTGCCCCAATCCGTCTAGTATTGTGAATAATGTATGAAGCATTACCAAAAAATGAACACATAGATTATATACCTTAGCTACCCAAGTTTGCAAGTCTCAATCTAATAATAAAATAAATAATAAAATAATAAAAAATGTTCTTTGCTGATGCAGGAGGGAAAGTGAAGATCCAGGACATTTAAGGAAATTCATGGACATTTATTAACATTTATAGACAGTGGTCATCCTACTCCCTACGGACCAAAGACTCGTCTGTGTTATCTGTGTTTGAACTGTTTGATTCTCTCATCTGTGTCGGTCAATCGACAACTGCGTAAAGTCCAATGTGATGACTGCTGTTGTGATTTAGGGCTAATACACAAACACATTTAAATTCAATGTAAGAATATTGCATGTGAGCCCTAAAAAGAACCAGTGTCACTTTAAAACTTGCCTTAGGTCTAATAGTCACACATGACACATAATTGGTACATAGTGGGGACATGGACATTATACAAATGTTTTAAAACAAATTACACAGTGTTCTTTAAACTGACAAATGAACTGAATTTACTTTCCTGGTTCACTTCAATGACCTCAACTTTCCTTTCGCTCTCATGTCATTCCGTTTTGGCACCATGTTTGAACAATGGTGTCAGGGTTGTCACACAAACCCTCACCACTTCATTAGTCTCCGGGGGAAAGACGGCTCTCCAAACACGTGGCAAATCCTCTGTCACATTTTCATCATAAAATAAACGTGAAACCGGCGCAAAAACTTTCCCAAAGGATGAGTCTGCGGCCAATTATCAGCGATGGAAAACTGGAAAAATGATGTCAGACTTTGGATAAAACTGAAAATTAAGTCACTCAGGTCTGCGGGAGGTGAACCAGCCCAAAGTATACACAGTTATCTTTGAGGAGGCAGCGTAATAGAAAACGGTAGAATGCAATAAGCAGAGTAGTAGATGCATGGGAAGCAGGAGAAGCCCTAACTCCTGTTTAATATGTGCTTTTGGACTGGGGCATTTTTTACAGTGGGGGTCTTTTGTTTCTCCTTCATTACATTAACGCATTTGTTATGGTTCTAGTTGAGTCAGAATGCTCCTGGTGAATATAGACTAACTCAGGGCAGATGTCTGAATCCAATCTGGTCCAAGGGTTGAAGTAAAAGTCACTATGTGTATACTCTAGTGCAGGGGTGCCCAAACTGTTTTATAAGAAGGCCTTTTTAGTTCTTCAGACTTGTCCAGTGGCAGAAAATACAGATTTTTGAATTGGTTTTGACTAGAATTGGGATGTTCTGGTTGTAAAAATGGTATGATAAATGCACATTGATTTACAGTTAATAGAAATGAAGATTACTTTTCATCATAGCCACATTACCAGCATATTTTGTGACACAAACAAAAAACAAATGTGCGTCTATACCATAGACTGTATATATTAACGGCGGAGATATTTAACCATTAGTTAAATATCTCCGCCATTCTAACTAATGGGCCAAAAATTGGGCTATCATGGAGTGATTCAAAATGGCCACGAGGCATGAAAATGTGAAAAAACGCATCTGTGCATGCGTCAGCCGGCACGAGCTCCATTCATTTAAACGAGTGACTTCAAAAATTCACAGCGAGTAAACCAGAGTGGTCCAAAAAAATTCACTCCCCTCAGCATCGAAACACATGTGGAACGGAGCTTTGGGCCAAGAGCCAACTTTTGGACCATCCTGTAAAGGTGTTTTTGAGAGGTAAGAAGATGCAATATGTTAGAATTGGCTAATTCTTATTCCGGGTCCACCCCCATCGGCCCGGGGTGGTATTGCAAACATGTCAGCGCACGTCATTTTGGCCACTTTTGAGCCAGGACCCGCCCCCACTGGTCCATACTAATAAAGTAAACTGGATTCTAGAAGGTCTGATCTTTACAAAAAGGTGTATCATGCCTATATATTGGTAGAGCTGAAGTTGGCTGGATGACACTTTGAACTTGTGTTTATGATCTACTTTGTGTGAGCAAGGCAAAGGGCCACATAACATGACGCAGAGGGCCTAATTGGGCACGCAGGCCTTAGTTTGGACATGTCTGATCTGATGGTGGCATTCACCACATCACTTTAAATCCTTGTCTGCCTGACAGTTAAAGAGCAGGATAGTATTTTCAATGTATAAAAAAATTCACAGGAAAAACATCAAATATATCAAGATAAAATGCAACCTTATTCATGCATTACTTTTTGGAAAAATGTAAACATCGGATTTGACAAGCACACATATTTATCCAATCAAGTCCATGAGTGTGATTTCAGATTGATTTGAATCTGCTTTTGACGAACTGCTGATGTTTGACTATCAACAGTTTTCACAAGATAAACTACACACGTATTGAATAACACTTTAAAAGCAAGTTCACATGTCTAGTTAGCATGTAGCCCCACGGAACAAAGCTGCAGAACAGATCGTAGTCCTGTCTGTTGCGACTGCCAAAGAACAGCTGTTTCTATCCAGTAACACAAACTGTCAAATGACTAAGTTCTGACGCTGCTTTGGTTCTAAACATGACCTGGTTGAGAAATTGCTTTGTCTCTGCACATTTTTCCCCCTGCACAGCCTGACAAAAGCCACGTTTTAAATACTAGTTAATCCCTCTTTGGCGTTACATGAGCTCCGTCACTCAGCGCCACGGAGCAGATGCGCAGAGTTGTCTCACGTTAGAGGCTTTTTGAATGCGCCGAGACCAGATGTGGAGACTTATGTGGGAGTAATGTAGCAGCTCAGGGCCCAAAGCCAAGTACTTACACAAACATCCATCCCACAGTGAAGACAATGTGCTGAGGGAATAGGCCTACAGGTTTTACAGCCCTGAGCAGGAGCACAACACACCAGCTGGAGACTTGGTCATCTTAAAACTTCATTAGGAAATATATGTCTGATCATTTTATCCTGTATACAGTATGTGCATGATTGCTTGGAAAATAACTATGCCTATGTAATTCAAAGTAAATATTGTGTGTATTGTTCCTTTTGTATTATATTATCATTGTTACTCCACTTTATCAACATGTTATTATACACACAACTAGATATTACTTGCACTTAACCCTAAACCTAACCCTAACTATATATTGCACTAGAATATACAGCATTTTATACTTGCTCATTATAAAATTGGAGATTTTACACTTATTTCCTTACTATGCTAAAGAGATAGATTTCATACTGCTTCTTTTTATGCTAGATTTAGAGATTTTATTTTATTTTAGTTTGTAAATTGTGAGGCACTGATATTTCACCTCTGTAGGACAAATCTTAATCTTTATACCGGTACAGTATGTGTCTTCTTTTTTTTTAATCATTGCATTTCCTTTGTTTGAACTCTTTAATTCTCTGATCTGTGTCGGTGGGTCATTATCTTGTAAAGTCACCCGAGATAGCTACTGTTGTGATTTAGGGCAACAAAAAATGCATAATTAATAAATTCATGTATTAATAATAACAAAAATGAAACATTGGTTTTGTATAGTTGTATATTTTTGATCATTAAAATATGTCACATGTCATTATTGATTCACTCCATTCACAAAGGCCACAGTGGCACCTGGTACTCCCATCACAGCACTAACCAAGCCCTACCCTGCTTCGCTTCAGAGATCTGACAGGACCTGGCTTTCACATGCAGGTGGCGCCACACTGCTTGTTAATCATTAGATACTACACAAAGCCATTGCTCTTTTGGGTTTAGAGCAAATATTTCAGACATGACTCATCAAGAAAGTGACTGATGTAATGGAGTTAAGAGGATTGAGCTAACACAAATTAGCCCAGCGTTAGTTGCAGAAAATAAGGTTTCAATTAGAAGCATTGCTAACGTCATCATGGCTCACCACATTAAAGAAGTACGTTTGAGTGGATACGGTTGATCAGCCTCGAGTGACTTGTGAGAAAGTCCATAAACAAACAAATTGAGTCTGGCTTGATATACAAACTTGTGGTTGCGAAACCTAGTACCGTGTAAAACTGACAAAAATAAAGTACATTTTGAAGAAGCTGGAACATCATCGTCAATATAACATCAATTATCAGGCCGCAATGTATAAGATTGGGGCAGTGGTATATATGAGTTTTGTATCAAACAACACAAAAGAATACTATAATTTTGTGGAAGAAATCATCAAAGTTAAGAAATTAATTTTAAATGTAATGTCTTATTCAGTAATGTTAGGCGGAATAAGTTTCAGGCATTATAGTCATATTTTGGATATGAAATAGTTTTTGTGGGAATTAAATTGTTTTTTGTTGTCTGGAAACTAATCTGAAAAAATAAAAAGCAAACTGATCATTGCATTTCAATAAACAATCTAAAACATGTGTATGTGTTTCTAATATTATACAATACATTTATACTTTTATTATACATGTAAAGTGGTGCTATGGCAGGAGTGTACTAAGTGTGTACTATCTGGTGCACACTGGGGTATTCTTGCACAGTTATTCCAATGTGGTTTTACTGCAAATGACAAATAAACTGAATGTGAATCTAAAATAGTAAAAATATTAATAAAAATTGTCCTAATAGCCATACATGTGTGTGCATAACAAACAACTGGGACAGCACTGGACTTCTGTGAGGACTGCTGCGTTACCTGACAGAGTGAAGCCGGACTGGTGCAGGTTTCTGACGGGCTGCTTGGTGGGAGAGGTGCGTGCGGAGGCTGAGGGCGTCCCACCGCGGGACAGGGAGTATTCTGATACGGGACCGTCGTACATCCCCCTGGGCACTGCCTTCAGGACAGCCAGCTGAGAGGGAGGAGGATGAAGAGGAGGGAGATAGGGGAAAGGGTTAGATCTGTAACACGATTTCCTGGATTTGTTGCAGTCATGAAGCAAAACTTTGTAAAGATTTCAGCCAAAAATAGCTTACATAGACAGCATTAATTAATGTGCTAAAACAAAAACTGTACTGTGTCAACAGCCTGCTCAAGAATCTACCACAGAATAAAAAGTCATAAAACTGATCAATAGCTACAGAGAAAGAAATATATCTTCATCTCATCATCGCATTAGAGAGCTCACCTACAGTAATATTACGCAGTGTAGCTTTAAGTCAGATTTGGGATAATTTAGTGTGTGTTTGAGCGTCCTTTAACTACCGTCTCTGGCAGCCACTTTGGAAACAGTCATGTGTGAGGATCCATATGACATAAGGCACACATTAGGATTACCTTGACAGTGGTAAAGTCAATCACATGCATCTGCTCATGATTACAAATGTTTAAAGACTTAAGTTCATTCTTCCATTACAGATACAGCCACTGTCCACAGAGCCAAATGTATGAAGTCATGAATCTTCAATAAGCTCATTGTGGTCAGTGTAGGTCAGTGCAGCTTTTAAGGACTCTTTGATATTAGGATAAACCAGGCTCTACTGTATACTGTAGGAAGTTTAGGCCATGTTATTATTTGTATTTATATACATTGAATGTTACATTCAAAACTTGTGATTTACATAGTTTTGGTAAAAGTGAAATATACCATATTGATTTTGAAATTTAATAATTTTTCATTGCTTCCATAAATTGCATCATTCTATGATATGATTTCAGTATGTTTTCCCTGTGCTCTTCCATACGGTCACCCTACGCAAAACTTTGAAATAGAAGTATTAAATGAATGAATCAAAAAATACGGACAAAGACTAAGAATGGTTCCTGTGTGCGGTGGGTCTCTGATGTCAGAACAAGGACCACCCTCACATTTGGACTCCTGCACGTTAAAAGTGCAGCCAGGATCTTCAACTAGGCTCTAGGGGCTAATGTCAGGAATCCAGCCCACATTTCCTCTGCTTTTTAGTATTCAACTATTTAGTTCAACTTTTCCTACAAGTAATGCTTTTTCTGCAGGTTCTATGTTTGAGTGGATGAGAACAGAATGACTGAATATGAATGTTATTCAATACAGCTACGATTCCGAAAATAACTAAGTACCATCCATCATTTCATGATATAGATTCATAACACAAATTGGTGCAATAAAAGATCTGCAGAAAGGGGACCCTCCTCCCAGGACACTGAAGTGAGTACAAAGATGAAGGAGAGTGGCATGAGCCAAAGTTAGAGTTGGAGGCACGACACGTGGCGAGAAGTTGAGCAGTGATTTTCTGCAAAATCTCAATTAACATTTAAAATTACATCCAAGGAGGAGATGTCGAAACAATGCTTATTGTGACAGGCTTTTTCCTATAACATATTAGGATGGTCTGAAATAAATGTCTTTTGTTTTTAAAAGCTTGACTAAATCTATTCCATCGCCTTTCATTTTCAAATCTAACACCTAAATGATGTCAGATTGGCTTATTTCAAGATGAATCACAACACCACCAAACCATAGTCAGTGAACAAAACTGACTAGAACCCCTAATGCCATCATAAGAACACTTATAAAGCACGATGGATCATTCTTTTATAGTCATCTCCTCTCTCAGTACCTGTTTCCTGGCCTTGATGCGTTTGTAGGCAAAGTCTGGGTAGGGGGAGCAGGGGATGAAGCGGCCGACCCCAGAGGAGGCGTGGAGAGTCCCATCCTCCACCACTATCTTCCCCTGACACACCACCACCTGAGGGGCCCCGCGGAGCTCCAGGCCCTCCAAGATGTTGTACTCTGCAGCCTGTCGAGAAAACACAGACATCAAGGAATATTCAGCCACAATAAGGGAGGCAAAATCATTAATTCTTGGTTCCTTTCAGCCAAAAAAAAAAAAAAAGTATTGTTTTATCTTTATTTAACATGGTAGGTGGTGCACTTCTCACAGTTTAGTTATAATACTTTGGTTTGAGCCACAGACACTCAGAGGTACAGGTACTTTTTGGTTCCTGTTTTAATTCTATTGTAATGTAAAAAGGATTTTTTATTCTCTTTGGTATTAAAACGTCAATCAACTTTTGTCTTTTTGTTATGACATAATGGATACATAATGGATTGAAGCTAGCTATTGCAATTAATATAATTTTCTTGGTGTGACAAAGCAGGTTACTTTGTCTTCTTGAATGCCACTTTTGTACAAATGTGGGAAAACCCATCACATGGTGAAATTTGACCAATTTAAGATTATGACACCATCTTAAAGCTGCTTTCGATCTCTTTTCAAATCTGTTTTCCTTTTTTTCATAGCATGCCTGTAACAAAGGTTATCATTATCTAAAGTCAGCGTTTTCACATGGTTTTATGAAACAGAATTCTGAGAAAAACAGGTTTAAAGATAGACATTCTAAATAGAATCACCACAGTCAAATTTAACATGTTACATTTGACTTACTCTGTTATGGCACACACTTCTTTTAGTCACTATGTTGTAAAAGATAACAAATGTTACTTTGGCACCAATTAAACACACAAACCTCATGAATTAGATGAAAATCAAGAATGATTTCAAAATTCAATGAATTTAATTTGTTTTACAACACTTTTCTAACTCTTCTTTTTTAGTTGCTTTCTCTTCATAAGTTACTGAACATTATATATGTATAGACAATGCCAGTATTATTCTATCAAATCACGCAGTATAAATATCCACAAGCATTTTTAATGCAAGAAGAAAATTAGGTACCCAAGCTTTAATTTCGTGAGCGCATATGAGACACGGGGGAGACCTGCACTTGCAACAAGCTGGGGATTGTCTGAACGAGTGTCAATGGTTCTGTCCGCGTATGGTTCTTCTATCTATGGTCCTGTCCAACTGTCTATGATCCGCGTATGGTCCTGTTTGCGTGTGTCTATGGTCCTGTTCACGTGTTTATGGTCCTGTCTATGGTCCTGTCCGCCTGTCTATGGTCCGCGCTCGGAGCCCCGTTACAGCAGTGCGTTCACTGAGATGTCATAGCGGGTGTCACACAGCTGCTCCCAGGGTCAGAGCGGAGGATGTAACGTAACGTTCGGTTTATCAAAACCTATCACACTTTTTAATGTATAAAACTAGTGAATTTCACCTAGATATTTTCAGAAATTAAAGAAAAGACGTTATATAGTAATTTAAGGAAAACACAATTTAGCCAAAAAAATGACACTCGACCTATTTTCACTATTTACTCGGAACGTGCTAGCGCGACATCCGACGGATTTTCCCAGATCGCATCACAAATGTGTTTTGTACCTGTAGAAGAGGCGTGTTTTAGTTGACCCTGAGGTCCTAAAGAGCTCAGGGACAGGACCGGACCGTTTTGTCCAAAATAAATCTTTGTTTTACACCTTTTAATATGAGTTTTGCCATTTCACTTTAACACTCAGGGTCAGCTTCACCACAATTGGTTTTCTATCTGTGGAGATACTGAATGAATGAATTAATGAATGAATGCCTTTATTAGTCCTGGTATCATTGTAAAGCCTAACTTCAATCTTACTTCAAATATCCAAGCTGTTGTAAATAGATTTTTTCCAGTAAATATAAATATCACTCGTTTACTGTTAGTTTATTTAAAGCTTGGCCATACCACTCAGGGCCTTCTTTGAACCGTCTCTGTTCAAGTAAGCCGCACTTTTGACATGTCAGATACCGTCAAAGCAGTGCGGCACGGTGGCTGCGTGGGTAGCACCTTGGCTTATCAGCAAGAAGAATCTGAGATCAAATATCAGTGAGAACAAGGCCTTTCTGATACATACAAGTTGAAATCACAGTCAAACTTAATTGCAATCAATGGGGTTTTGCAAGTAATCCACGTACACATTGAGTTCACTTGGCAACATCAAGTCAAGAATGAGGAACTCGAGAAATTCAAGATAATGTGAAAAAAGTGGATAACCCCCTATTTTTACTGCATTAGCTGAGTGTGTATCCAAATATGGGCCATGACTTGAACACTGAATTCCCATGTGTTTGCCTTTTCCCAGTCAAAACCTCTGTACATATATATTATTTGTCAACCTACTACTCCAAATCCGTGTGTCTCCTCTTTCTCTTGGACTCACCCTGATCCCTGGTCGCCCCTCCTTCATTCCATTGTCGTTCATTTCCTTTTTGCACACGACCCCGAGTCCAAGTTTAGTCCAGAGAACATAATCCAAATATGATGTCAGACAGAGAGTGTGTTATGTGTCTCAATATCCATGCATTTGGGTTTTCTACAGGAATAATAGCTCATGTACACTTACTTCCACACAGCCACAAGCCAATGCATACATGTATTTGCTTTGACTTACCGCTATTATTACAAGGTGATGACAACAAGATTTGGAGGGTAAAAGTAAAAATGTTGAAGCCACACACACGCAAATCCATCTTGATTTATCTGATGTTTCTTTTTGCTTTTTTCATGTCATCCGGAGGGTTATTCATTGACTAAATTAAGAGCCTATTGAAGTTGGTAGATACAGCACAAAGACCTGTTATATACCTTATGTTTTTGGCTGGGAGAAAATGTATTTATTTTGATACCGCTAAAACATGTCACACCACATTATTATCACTTGTAGCCAGTGACGCGTTAAACCATTTCATAATTTCATTTACAGTTCACCGCAAGAAACTGTGGGATGGATTTAGATTTGTTCAGACACTCGGGAAAGAAAGCTTTACCAGGAATCACACATGAATCATAATTGTGTGGTCAATAAGTTGCTATACATTTTCCTTAGTATTGTTGATATTGAAAAATATGACAATCAGCTTGCAGGAAATGAAAGTCTTGTCAAAAGTCGTGGGCCTAATATATTTTTTTTCATTACAGAGCCCCAGTCCATGCATCTGTCACTGAGGTTCAAACACAAGATGATTACAATTTATAGCATGGAAAGCTTTTGAAGCTTTTTTATAACGTATTTGGAATCTGAATGGAATTTGCAGTAGGGTTATGGAATCTCAGAATAAACAGGACAACGACAGAGATTTATTTCCTGCTTCCTGTTAAGAGTTCCACTGAAACTCCATGACATGTCATACAAACATACAGCGACTACTACTACTACTACTACTGCTACTACCACAAGGACGACCACTATTACTACAGTTGCAACTACTACTGCCACTGCAAATGCTACTACTACTACTACTGCTAATACTTCTACTACTAATACTACTACTACTGCAGTTGCAACTTTTACTGCTTCTACTGCTATTACTAGTAGAAATGCATCGGTTTAATACAGCGCTTTTTTGGACACTCAAAGACACTCCTTATTCTTTCACTCCATTCCCGATGGTGATAAAACACTAATGTAGCCACAGCTGCCTTGGGGCAAACTGACAGAAGCAAGGCAACCAGTATGTGCAATCGGCCCCTCTGACCACCACCAACTACTCACAAACACACACACACCTGGCACCTGGTGTTCCCAGAGGTCTCCCATCACAGTAATAACCAGGCCCTGCCCTGCACAGCTTCAGAGGTCTGACGGGATCTGGGTTTCACATACAGCTATGGCCACTACTACTACTTCTACCGCTGCTACTACAACTACAACTATCCTAGACTTATAGCAGGAAATAGTTCAAAGCTTTAGTTTAACATTGAATTTACTAATAGGGGATTTACGCCAATGGAAAAACGTAAGTCTATAATTGAAGAATTGTAATGACTGGATCTTGTTAGGAAATAAAACAAACTTCACTTTGAACAGTTCCCTTAAGGCGAGTCCTCATAAGACAGTCCCTACAAAAGAGTTAACAGTCAAATCGCAAACATAGTAGCCTGCGCTAGGATATAATGTAATGTCATCTGCCTGTATCGGTCATGGTTTCGCAGGTGCCATGTAAATTGTCTGTGAAGTGAATGTTCCCATGAAATCCCGAGTCTCATGACCGCCGCACATCCTTATAAAATCTGTACGGATCAGATGTCAGCACATGTTTCTAATCTCCTGGTTGAAAAATGTGGACGGACTCTTCACTCTGAGAGATCCACCGCTGTACGTGAGCAATGTATTACGATATAGATTGAGGGATTGTTTTTTGTTGCCCAACCAGGTGTATGTGCATATGCAAGCATTTATTTCAATTGTAATATGATCATTTCAATTTCAATCTATATGCTATCATAGTAAAAAAAATATATATATATTTGTTGGTCTAGTTTCCAGATTGGAGGTTACTTGTAGTTACTTGTAGGCACTTGAAGCAAACATATTTGGGAGCCGATGGTTGCTATGAGTGGAAGTTCAATAATAATAGTGGTATTAGAAGTAGTAGTCATGTGGTACCAGTAGAAAACATAATTAAGCAAAGTATTAAACAGTATTAATACAGTAAAAAGTATAGCAATAAGGGCTTCTTGATGCCAGGTGAATTAAAATGATTAAAACCTTCACTTGTTCAAGACTGTTTTGTGTACATGCCTCTTTATGGACATGTAAGTGCCAAATGGACCAACTCAGACTCTGAGGAGCACAGGTGCTGGTCTCCTGCTGGGGCCCAGAATCAGGACTAAACATGGATAGGCAGCATTTCAGATTTATGCAGCTGAAATCTGGAACAGTCCTCTCTATCTGAAAATGTTCAAATTCAGGTTTAAAACAGTTCTGTAATTATTATTTTAATGCTTTGTATGATTGTTTATGTTGTTTTGTTAAGCACTTTGAGTTGCCTTGTGTGTGAACTGTACTATACATATAAAGTTACCTTGCCATGCCATAAACACACCATGAAATAATAAACGACAAAGGAAAACAATTGTAGCATGGTTCATAACTTACAATGGGATAATTATTGAATCATTTATATCTTCTGTTTCCAATACATTTACAAAGACGTTTTTAATCCCTGTGTTCATGATGGTATGGTGATTCTTAGTCATGGGAAAGTCCATTGTAAAAAAAATAATAAGTGGGGATTTTTACTCATCTTAGAGAACTGATAAGCACAAGTTTTTGGTAACAACTGAAATAAATGCCTTTTCCTTTCCCGTCTCTGGCTTTCTTCAAACGAATACAAACACATACAGCAACTACACCAATATCAATATTAAGCTCAATATTTACAAGCACCTGCAGTAATGTAGTTCCTGGATAATAAAGAACAGCTGGTCATGTGTTTGAAGAAGGAAGTTAACAACTGCCACGTACCGAGTTGTGTGTCTTGGCGGAGATGGTGCGGATGGCATCGGTGTCCCAGATGACCAGGTCGGCGTCAGACCCCACCGCGATCCGTCCTTTCCGTGGGTAAAGGTTCAGGATCTTGGCTGCGTTTGTGCTGGTGACGGCCACAAACATGTTCTCGTCCATCTTCCCCGTCGTCTGCGTCATAACAACAATATAAATGTCAATACTGGATTGAAAAGATTAAACAAAGGGTTCTTGAATTAGCGTTAAAGGTGCAAGATTTTACACTTGAGTCCACTTCATCTCCTTATGTTTGTTAGATAAAGCTGTGGACTGCTCTGAACCAGGACTGAACCAGGACTGAACCAGGTCTGAACCAGGTCTGAACCAGGTCTGAACCAAGTCTGAACTAGGACTGAACAAGGACAGAACAAGGACTGAACCAGGATTGAACCAGGACTGAACCAGGACTGAACAAGGACTTTAATGTTGTTTTATGTCTGTATTTGTCTGTGCACACTGGAGACTTTTGCTAATGTATTCCAATGTGTTTTTTTTTTTACTGCAAATGGCAAATAGACGGAATCCGGAATCTGAATCTGAATCTGAACCAAGTCTGAACTAGGACTGAACTAGGACTGAACCAGGTCTGAACAAGGTCTGAACCAAGTCTAAACCAGGACTGAACCAAGTCTGAACCAGGTCTACACCCAGGTATGAACCAGGACTGAACTAGGACTGAAAGAGGACTGAACAAGGTCTGAACCAGGTCTGAACCATCTCTGAATCAGATTTGAACTAGGACCGAACCAGGTCTGAACCAGGTCTACATTATAATGCTATGTCTTTGATATATATAATTTCTTACATTAGCTTTACTCAAATGTGTGAATAATACTTCTAGCATGTCTGGAGCCATTAAAATATATGTATTTTCATTTACACCCCCATGTTGTTGTCGTATGATAGCCACCATTAATCTACAGTGTATAACAATATGTGATATGGGTACTTGTCACAGTGAAAGATGCATAGGTCTTCATAATACATCAATTTCTTTAAAGGAATAGGCCACCGTTTTTACATACTGACATACGTTCTTACCTTACCTTAGACTAGTTGATATGTACCTGTCTGGTCTTTGTCCGTGCGCTCTGTCATGCAAACGGAGCACAAACGCAGCCTCTTCCATATTCTGTATAGTTCCAAATCAGCTCCCGTTAGAAGCTACCAAACTCTTCCACGTGTTCCCTATTTAAATACAGTTACGTGACGTGTTACACTACAAAGTATAGTAACACAGAAATGTAACATGTCGATTTTCTGAGCGGATAAAAAGGGGTACTATATTGTGAGGCGTAATAATACGAGGAGCAATTTGTCCGCGCATGAACTCCTAAAGACTTCTCTCCCGCTCACTTCCATCAATAGATAGTGCTCCTCGTATTATTACGCCTCACAATATAGTACCCCTTTTTATCCGATTGGAACTTGTGGAAGAGGCTGCGTTTGTGCTCCGTTTGCATGACAGAGCGCACGGACAAAGACCAGACAGGTACATATCAACTAGTCTAAGGTAAGGTAAGAACGTATGTCAGTATGTAAAAACGGTGGCCTATTCCTTTAAACAAACACTGATGTTAGGAAATAGTTTGACATTTAGAGTCGAAAATGTGTGATGAACATGAGACCCAAGAGTTATCTTTGGCTCAAATTCTAAGGGCAACCGTATCCATTACAATATCAACATATTGTATCAAAGCCAAAGAAAGGTTGTTTTATCAGCACAAATAACTGATTAAAACTGCAAATCTAGTGAATGTAAGATAAACGACGGAAAGAGGCAAAGAATGAAAACAGTTGCAGCTTCAAAGTCACCACAGGACAGGACAGATGCGGAGCAGACCAGAGGAAGCTCACAAACCTCTAAAAATAACTGTGGGCTGTAAATCCATCTATGGGGTCAGAAGAGTTTACTTTTTCTGCTTAACTCCAAGACTTGCAATAAAAGGAGATGTCTGACTGAAATAATAAAAACATGGTCTGATGGACAAGCATTTATTCATAAGTGTGTAGATGATTACAGTCTTTGGCATTTCCAGATCGTCAGAGGTGGAAAAAACAAAAATGTGTAAAATGGCAGGTGTAGTTTTGAAGATATATTTAGTTTTTTGAATTAGTATCTTCCATCCAGTCGATATGTGGTATGTTATAAGTCATTTTAAATGTAAATGTAAACATAATTTGTAAGAATTTATTAACAAAAGGAATCTGTAAATCAGTCTACAGTAATCTGCCATTTTTATCTAGTTCAGTTTCAATCTAACCATAGCTGTACTCATTTTGATCAGAAAAGACATTCACACTATAAAAATAAAATGCACAAAAATAATCAAAAGATGGAAAAGAGGCAGAGGAAATTAAATTTCCACAAATAAAATATTGAACATCCTGGTGTTCACTTATTTTCTGTCCTTTTTAAAATATATTTCCAAAATATAAAAAAGGCATTATATAACAATCTATAACGTGCTGTATTCTAACTAGCGCAATGGCATGATCACCAACCCTTGTTTATGAAATAAAATAAAACAAATCAAATGAGCCAGTCAAAATTCCAAAAATCCCCAAAAATATGCAACACCAAACACCTGCTGTATATTGGCTCACTTGTACTCACCACGGCCTTGTCCCAGACCAGGGACATGCGCTCCTCCACCCCGTTCACACCCTCTGGGATCTGAGTGAAGTCGTCTTTTCCAATGGCCTTCTGCGCCACGCTGAAGGTGCAGTGAGCGCTGCCCGTCACGCTCAAGTCCCCACTGCATACACACATGCACATGCGCATACACAGACGCACACACAGACACACACAACATGAAGTGTAACTTCAAATTGTGAATCATTATGAATATTTTTAGAAAACTGTGATACAAATGGCTCAAACCTTTTAAGTGAGATCTGCAATAATTTTCCGTTCATTCTACAGCTCCCTCATTGGCTTTTTCTCATTTAACACAAACGCTCTTTACAAACCAAATGTGCTATAAAGAGACTTCCCTAGACACTCTGTTTTTCCTAACTGTGTAATTTGTAGTAATGACCCTGATGAGTGGAAATCATTTTTCGTAAGAGCAAAATTACTGTGTTTTTAGTGTAATTTTCTGCAATATTGTAACTATCACTACTCACATCAAAAAATGTATAGGAGGAGATATCATTGGTGGAACACATCATTTCCTCATTCACTTTGACATCTTTTATTGCTATATGCTTTTAACAAATGCCAGCTCTGTAGTGTGCCTAAGAGAAGTGTGTTACCTGGACAGCAGAGTGTGCAGATAGTCTGGGGTGGTGGGATCTGGGCTCAGAGGAGGAGAAGTGACAAAAGAAGCAGCTTTGGCCCAGTTCTTGCTCCAGTAATGAGTCCCGTCAGTGCCAAGGCTGGCGGTGATCGGCTCCCCGAAAACCACATTCCCTACAAGCACAAGATATTTGGTGTCAGGCTTGCATAGGGACAAAAGGATGACAAAATATATCAATAAATCCAACACTACTTTGTAAGATAGAATGTCTCTTTTCCAAAGTCTTATTTGTCCTGTTCCTCCAACCAACAAGGCAAGTTTGGAGTTTATACGGCTGATGATCCGTGTTGAAACTTTCTACAATGGAACCCTTTTTTGTATACATTGGCTACATCATTTATAAAAAAAGCAAACTCTCGGAAAGTCATGAGCAGAATGTCAAACATATGGAAGCACTGCTTTCTAATATTGTCAGTAGAATTGACAGCCCCCAATGCAAGCCATTTAACTTAAAATATCCAGTATTCATCCCACAGTGGGGACATTCCAGAGTTGCAGCTCCAGTTTACAGAACAGTAGGGATGAGGAGACCACAGCAAATGATAAGTGACCAATAACTCTATATATAGAAATAAACCAAATCTCTAACTTTAGCATAATAAAGGAGTAAGTATAAAATCTTTAGCTGCAGCACAATAAAGATAGAAGTCTAAAATCTACAACTTTAGCATAATGAAGGCCGATTACATCTATTTATTTATTATTTTTGCTATGAAATGTTCAAATTCTACTTTGGCGCATAAGCCAACAGTTTGACGGCACAAGGGTTGAGTGTAGTGTGTGTATTTGAATAGAGCCGTGGTGCTTGTGTTCTGGTGCTCACCTTTCTTCCGGGCCTGGGAGATGATGTCGGCGGCGCTCTTGCTCATGACGCGGGTGACGTACAGAGGGCAGTTGGTTTGGCTCGCGATGGTCACAGCTCGAAACACCGCCTCCGCCTCCAGCTGCAGCCAGAGGAAGATGAGTGGTTAAAACATGTCTTTGATTAATGCTGAAATACAGATGTAGTTATTAGATTCTATTACAGGGATGAATCAGGTCAAACCAGAATGACATAAAGGATAATTGTAGGTTATAAACATGCCATTTTATAAAGACATATTCAGTTCAGTAGAATGTGGATGGCCAATTTCACCATGAGACACACTTTCCATATTGCTGGATTTGTATTATTTTACATGCCCACTTAAATAAACTGAACCATGGATTGATTTAGACCTGGATTACTGCAGTGGAAAAGCTCCTTAAGAGACTACAATTTGAGAATTTGATTCATGTGGAAATATGTATAGAATTTTTTTTGTTCATCCTATAATTTAGAAGAACCAATCTCAAAAAAGTAATTTAGTCACAAAATCTGTTTATATTGCATAGCATAATTCATTAATACCAGACAGAAAGTATGCACTGCTAGTGTAGCCACATCTACCTTGGGGTAGACTGGCATAACCAGGGCACATTTGCAAACTCGTGACAATAATCCATTTTGGGTCAAACATATCTATGTGCGGTTTTGATTATAAAACAATATTTGACATCAAGGTAGCATTTAAGAAAGTGCAGTAGCTAAAATCCAACAAATGCATTACACTGCATTGAGTACATTTAGACTACATTTAGTCTTAAAACAGAATTTGCCGATTTGACATGCAATTAAGAGACATGTAAATATAATTAGAATGAAATTGGAATAAGATTATTATTATTAAGAAGAAATAAGCTTGTCTCATCAGAAAATCTTGTTTTAAGACTTTCCGAATTTCAAGTCTAAATGTACTTAATTCAAGATAAAACCACCCGGTTCAAGCATTAAGTACTATCTATATAATATTTCTTGCGTGTATATTATTACATGTTATTAAATCATTTCATTATTCCGTCTTGAGTCCATATCACATCGTACGGGATCCTGTGATTCCCAGCCTTAATGCATAATACTGCACAACTGTAACCACTCAAGCAGAAAGTCTCTGCATTTTAAAACAGAAGTCGATTGTTTTGCTCTTTTTCCCCATCCCAGTGTTTCCAATAAGCCATAAACAAACACAGACAGTGATCAGACGGCCTGAACCCGCGCTGGAAGTCTCTCAATGACTCACATTACACAGACTTTTGATCCTGAAGCCTCCACTTAACCGTGTTACACTATTCAGCTGATGAGAATGAACCACTTCAGTGCAACAAGTGGAAAGTCCCAGACACGCAAATGCTGAGTCAAAAATATGTCTTTCATTTTTGGATTTTACACGAGAAACATCAGCCAGGACGGATTTTTTGGAAACGTGAGATTTTACACTTCAAATCCATGTGTGTGTAACGGGAAAAACGTGTGATGAGGTCCCTCAGACCAGGGCCAGAAGCGCACAATGAAAGAGCGTTTATGTGCAGAGGAGGTGAAATGTAAATGATTTTCACCACAAAAGACTGGAGTGGGAAACCAGACAAAGGAGTAGTGGGTATTGAAGTGAAACCAATGCCAGATTATATGCATGTGTTTGAAGCATGTGTCTGTTTTAGAGAGTAGAAAGCTCTGTGTAACTTGAAGTTGAACGTGAAGTCCTTGCTTTCTGCTTGTCTGTATACATCCCTGCAAAACATCTCTACCTTGGATTTGCCTCCTCAAGGTTTCTCAATTTTTTCCCACTGTTTTTTTTTGTTTTTCCTTGCCAATGCAGGAGGGTTTGTTGAAGAGTTAGCGTCTACCAAAAAGGACTGTGGTGATGATCCAGGACACTTTAACATTCTACAACATGTATGGACATTTATCAGCATTCATGAACATTGGTCTCTTTCTATGGACCAATACAAATGTGTATTTTCTGTCTTAACTGTTGATTCTCTGGTCTGTGTAGACAATTTCAATGGTTTTGGTAAGTCCTCTGACTATTGTGATTTAGGGCTATGCAAGAATAAATTGTATTGTATTGTATCGTATATCCCTGGAAATCATCTCTACATTAGATTTATCTGTATATTTCCCTTGAAAACATTTCTACCTTGGATTTATTCAAATACCGAAGAAAAAACCTTGACACATTCCAATAATAATAATAATAATAATAATGCATTAGTTTTATAAAGCCTTTTTCACACGTCAGTATTCTTTCACTCCATACACGGTCTGATAAACTAATACTGAAGCCACAGCTGCCCTCGGCACACTGACAGAAGTGAGGCAACCAGTATGTGCCATTAGTCCCTCCAAATACACTTCCCAATAAAATGTGATATTCTAATTGAGAAGTGTATTTATGTAGCATTCTATGTTACTTGTTTTTTCTATAACATAGTAACTTTTTTCCAGGACTCCCTTGCAAAAGTGGTTCTTAATTTCAATGGGACTTTCCTGGTTAAATAAAGGTTGAATGAATAAATACAATATGAAAAATTATCATAGTTACCATAGTTCTAACTGAAAGATAGCCATGTCATTATCTTAACATGTTTTTGTCTCCCTCAAAAGCGTCTTGTAACATCACACACGACAAAAAGAAAGCTTTATCAGCAGTTCTTCCCAAGGCCCATTCCAGGCCCAGTGTGTGACTGGCCTTGGAGAAGTGCGTCCCATATTCGTCTGTTCCCGATTATCTTCTTTATCAAGGTAAATAACATCGCTATCTCAAAATTATCTTGTGTAGAAAACACCAGACAACGTAATTTACTAAGAAGACAAGTAAAACCTTTGCAAACTATCAAATGCAGCAGTTTACTCACCTCCTCCGGGCGACTCAGCACGTGTCCCTCTGGTCCAGTTATTCCCATCTGCAGCATTCGGGCCTGCTCCTAAAAAACACACAAAAAGTTTTATATTTAGGGGCATAATTATAAACAGATACTGCAAGATGGAGTCAAAATAAACAGCAAACAGTAAAACAGTAAATGATCTAATTTTGTATTGCATAATGGCCAAAAAAGTGTATTTGAGTCCAACTAATTGTGTTTTTATGACTTAATTGTATCGGTTAATCAACATGTAGGGACATTACATTCGAATTAGTGATGAAAGTGGTCTAACTATGACATATGAGCTTTTCAGAGAATTATCAATGTTCTCAAATAATTGCAACCAGATTTTACTTTTGATTTTTTTTTGGTTTTGCTCAAAATTGGTGCTTGTTAAATTAGCTAAATTCGGCATGAGATTAATGATCTTGTCACAAGCCACAGAACATGATGTAAACCTCATTACATGCACTGGCTCATTTCTGCACAAGGAAACTATTTTAAAATCAAACAAGAATTATCAGTAAAAAAATGTTTTCACACAATCCAACCGGGCGGCAATGTATTTTTGTTGCCGTTGAAAGTTTGTAAGTTTGTTTTCATATGATATAGTTGTTGAATACTTATTTATTATTGCCATGTTATTATAATGTATAGGTATCAGAGTGATATTTGAAAAGCATCTGACAGATTTTTTTTATTAGTCCTACGGTACAACCAAACAAAATAGCAGGAATTAGATGTTTTTTTCCACAGAGAGGAAATGTCTGGATTGATTGTGATTGTATAATGTGAATGTACAATTAAAGACCCAATATTTCAATAAATAAAACAATGGAAATAAATAGTTTTTGGCATCCACAATCATGAATATCGGCTTGTGCAGCAGGGCAAAATCAGATATTGTTTTGGCTGAAAAGAAAGAAAAACATAAAATCCCATTCTCCATTTCTATTCAAGTGCAGTACATCCCAAAGGAATAACGTAAATCCAAAGACTCCATGTTGTGTATACAATAGAAAACAATTCCGAGCGTCTGGCCAACACAAACCACAAAGACAGAGTCCAAATTTCTGACTAAGACTCACAAATCACCAAACAGTAAAATTAATTCACTTACATTAACAGACAAAACCCCAAATATTCTATTGCACAAACAAAGAGAAATGATTAAGCTCCAAGAACGCACTCTTCGCTCTCATGTGTGACAGTGTTTAGACAAAACACACAATGGGAACAAAACAAAGATGAGAGTAAAACAAATATATTCAGGAAAATGAATGGAAAAGTTTGTGGACTGGTAGGAATGGGTCCACAAGTTACTTTCCTTTTTTCAATTGTGATTGTGGTTCATCTTTTTTCCTCTTGAATGAAGAGAAAAAAGGATGCATGATCGCCAAAAGTATCAAAAATCAGACACTAATCTATATTATTACTAGTATTGAAACTAAATATCTGAACATTGAAATGTTTAAAAAGCACAACAAAGCTTGACAAAATTGTTAATTTTCTGAGCCTTTTATAAATATTTTGAACAGGTAGCCCTCCCTAATGAAGACTGCTTTATCTTATCAAGTGAGGGCCTGGTTTGAAGCTGTTTTGTTTATGACCACCGTTGATTTGTTTGGAGACCAGCAGATCTCTGTCTCCATTCCTTTAAATGTTGAATTCTATTTGAAAAACAGGGGGCATCCTAAAACATACACCAACAAAACAATCTAAAAGAGCATCTCAAAATGTGTGGAATCAAATTTGATATTGAAAATAGAGTCTATTCATTAGTATGGATACCCAGTTTTGTGTATACACTAATTGGGTCTTTGTGGGTCTCTATATAGTCTTTGTTCGGGACCAATGCAAAATCAGTACCAATAATATAGAAAGATTTTAAAATGAAATAAAAAATACCTCTGCAATGATCTCTCCATTTTCAGCGTGGACTTGAACGATACCTCCTCTCTCGGCCAAGAAGGTGAAGATTTCATACAACTGAACAAGATACAAATGGAAAAAATAAACTTTAGAGAGCAAAATACTTTTTCAATCAGGAAAGACCCAAGACAAAGATACATAAGAACAGACACAGAGAACATGACAGAAACATGAAGTGATCAATAACATTTGACCCACAATTATTGTATGATAAATGCAGGAGGGAATTTAATACAGATTATATCATATTATGTATTATATCATATTATATCCATTTGATAATAATGAAAGTACAATTGTGCAATAAACCATGAAACATTTAGCCTAGCAATGCCTCTTGCCTAAAACTTAAAAGGTAAATCTTTACAACAAAATACCTTGTAAAAAGTGTGACTCCCCATTGTTCCGTACATTTAATTTTAACACACATTTTTATCCCTTAACTCCACCTTAAGCCACAGTTTAGATGAAGCAACACAAGCGCTCTACCATTAAGCCCAGTGTGTGTGTGTCTGTGTGTGTGTGTGCGCCTGTGTTTGTGTGCATGTGTGTGGCCCCGGGGACTGCCGTTCTCATGTGGGTTATAGGAACCAGCTGCCTGACCCATGGGACAGTTTGGCTCAGGAACCAAAAGAATGACATCAGCTTTCAGTGCTGGACGCAGACTTGGCCTTAGGTGCTCTTTCTGACCGAGAGAATTGGCTGCATGAGAATCGCTCGGTCCTTCCACCTACTCTGTTTTTCCGAGGCCAGATTTATGAGCAGCAGGTTAAAAGTCATACAAGGATAAGACTGTTTTGGCCGAAGAATATTATAATGACTTTAGATAATGTTGTTTTATGGATTGATAACATTACATAATTAATACTATGTTGTGGTTGAAGATGTTTTGTAGTCAGAGAAACCAAGACTTGAGCTGTAGATGACTGAATTATTCAAATCTATAACTTAGTATAGACTGCAGTTAATAGGCTAAAATCTTTTCTTTGCAGGCAATGTAACAATAAAAGTCTATACTTGCTAATTGTGACCTTGCAGCCCATGTCTACTTTCTACAATTTGAACATTGTAAAGACATATTTGCTTGGGGTTTTCCTCATGTTAACGTTTATCTTTGAACATAGTGTGGAGTTGTACGCTGAGAGACAGATTTATCAACTGGACGCCCCAAAAGAGTCACCGGAGGTATCTGGCACCAGGGTGTGATCAGACACATCTGCACTTAAGAGAGAGGGTCCTTATGGTTCACCGGTTGGCTAGGCTCCAATTTACATAATTTTGACCTAATATGTTTGGCCCCAAGTAAAATATCTTATTACCACATGGCTGTATTTGCATGATTCTCAGAGACAAATTAACAATGACATTTAGATTTGTTCACATAACTTTGTTCTATGTTTGATGTTGATGCTCTGCTTGGTCAGAACTATACTTTCACTGGAGTATATTCCTATAGTGCATGTTTAAGAAAACCGGAGCACATGGAGGAAACCCACCCAGACACAGGACCAACATGCAAACTCCACACAGAAAGGGCCAGGCCAACATGACCCTTTTTATAGCTACCCACTCAAAGAAGTAACTTTGAAGAGCTGAGTCAAGGTCTCTTTAAAATTCAATTTTGTCCAATGTCTGTTAGGTCTATAGGGTTGTAATGAACACTTATTTTGATAATCAATTACTCCTTTAATTAATCAATTATTTGTATAGATCCGGAAAGGTCAGTGAATGTCTTTTGTACATATGGGTTTTTTGCAGTCATTAAAAAAACCTCTCATTGCAAGGTTCAAAACACTAAACTAAATTAGTTGACAACTATTTTAACTTATAAAATAGTATAAAATGTTATTAATCAATATGTTTAAGCAATACATTTGTTACTGAAACGGAAACTGAAATTCAGAAAGTCTTTATCCGGGGGAAGGACCTGTTGTAAATGTTTTAGTGGTTGGAGAACCCACACACGTTGGGAACCAATGCAGACCAAGCCCACGGTGATCCAAGATGGCGCCCTATTCAAATCAATGGCGTTTGCTCAGTAGTGCATGGGACTTCACGGAGACCGAGAGAGTAGCAGAACTCGCCCATATTTGGGCATCGTCTGGTCCTCCCGGTTCTGTGCAGTGGATTATCTCCCATGATGCGTTGCGCCAAATACGCGTGTGTCTCCCATGCACGTGCAGAGAGGGGCTCGAGTCAGAGTGGGAAGGAAAAAAGCAGAGTTTGTAGCAGTAAAGTGTGGATTTAAAGAAAACCGAAGGATTTAAGAAGAAAAAAGTTCAGGATGACAAGGGACACTAAAATCCCACAAAATCCGATATTTCTTAAAGCTGTAGGTTCTCTGTCAGCTGAGGTCGAGCTGTTTTAGTTTACATTGAGTTCTATGGGACTTTTTTCTGGGAAGCCCACGTGAATTTAGTCTGCAGTACAGCTATAAGCTAGTAATACCCTATCCAGTTATGTTTATAGATCCATGATGCAGACACAGAAGGTGAATAGAGAGAAAGCATGTACCTCACTGTTGCTCATCTGGTAGTAGTCCTTGTAGGCCATGTATACTTGGAATGAGTTGACGCCTGGAGAAAAAGAAAAAAAAAGATGATAGTAATGATGATTTGTGTATATTGAAAAAGTTCTGTTCCAAATGACTAAATAATAAGAAAAACAAACCATGAAATAATTATCTTAAGAATTGTTCTCAGTTATATTAGATATTTTTTCTGGGCTGTAGTATTGACATTGTTTTCTTTGGCATTATCCACGTTGCATTGTATCGCTTCATTTGTAATAAGACTCACTACGAACCTTTGTCCTTGATGAGAGCGTCCACTTCCTCTTTGACACTGTCGCTCCAGTGAGTGATGTCAACGTGCAGCGAATAGTCACAGCAGGACTTCTCATCGGCCCACTGCTTCCACTGGTCGAAGGCCTGCACCAGACTGCAGTCCGGCTCTGGGATCACATGGTCCACTGGGGAGAAGTAGTACGGTACCTTCTATTAGTACCTTGGCTTTGTCCCATTTGCAAATCTTGTTTTAATACAGTCAGAATGAACTGAAATCAAGATTCAAAAAACCGCTGATTTAAGCAGTTATTAAATCATACCTCATTACCACTCACAGTTTGCAGTGTGTGTGTGTTTGTATGTAGACGGGAAATAAAAAGATAATTTTGAGATGATTCGTCGGCTGGGTATGTGCTCTCCAAATGAACATTCTAGTCTGAATGGTATGAATTTAACCTAGATACCAAGTCAGAATCGGTAGAATTTGTTGCTACAAATAATCACTTTAGATGTTTTATATGAATTAAACAAAAATGTACCAGTTTTTTTGGCTTTGACACATTTATCTGGACTACAGATTGTGACTATTTCAGGTAGTTCAGGTAGATTCAAATTTCCCATCGTAGGATTAGATTTGTATTAAACAAATTTACATAAGAGTGTAAAACCCCAGGATGCAGCTGCAGTATTGGGAGTGTCTTTGATAAATATTTGTATTACTTACAACGCAACATGCCCCCAAAATTATACATCCAACAAACCTACCCTTTAGTTCCAAAGAAAAACTGGAATTCTTTGCCCATCTATGTTGAGCAGATATTCATCCATTGAATTGCATGGGAAATGGTGGGTCATTTTGACATATAGGAAGCCATTCATCATCAGACTTACTTTGCCCATGACTCAGAGTGGCTGAAGATAATCCCTGAATGAATCCGGGCAAAATAGCAGTACAAGTATGTTAGGAAACTTCAGACTAACAGGGCATTAGCAGCAAAGCACCAGCCAATACTGCACAAGTGAAATGTGGGAGGGGGGGCTTCTGCAGCTGTTCTGTAGGATCTAGGTTTTTTATTTTTAACGTTTACATATATTAGGTGTAGAAGTTTGTTTTTGAATGCAGCTCTGATTTGGCTGAACTACTGGCAGCCCTGCACCACCTTCTTATATATTTTTTTGTATTAGATTAGCTATGTAGATGATTTGAAATCCTCTAGAAATGGCCTCAAAACTAGACAATGGTCATTTCCGTTACCAATCATTGTGGTTCCTCCGGCCAGAGCGGCTTTTGTCCCCTGGGTGAAGTCGTCTGCCGTGGTGGTGCCGTGGTAAGGCATCTGCAGGTGTGTGTGGATGTCGATGCCTCCAGGAATCACCATCTTCCCATTGGCCTCCACCGTCTTCACGCCTCCAGGGACAATTAGGTTATCCCCAATCTGCCTGGCAACCACAGAGGAAACTGTATTTACCTGGTGGATTCTGGCATGGTGATGTCTTATTAGTTATTGGATTATATAGATGATATAAAGTTATGGAACCAAGCCCTCCTCATGAATGGTTTGACAGTTAAACCATTCATGAGGAGTTAAATATCAAATAACTCCTTTTGAACTCCTCCTTATATGATATTATGTGGTAGTTTTTTGGTATGATTTCGGACAAGGATGAAAGTACAGCTTTTGTAGGCGACAAGTTCCAACAGAAGAACAAATGTGTGCATATGGTAGGGCTGATCGTTATCGAGATTGAGATATCAAAATATCGTAAAAGCAACATGTACAGCATTTTACAGCTCTACAGTATCTACAGTCAATATAAAAGCATTTTTACGATTGCCCTTGAATGCACAACTACAGCCAGCCAATCAAAATCCCTATTCCATGCCTTTCGTGGATTTGTCCAGCTCTAGTGTACTTAAGGAAGAGGTTATAAAACAAACAGTCCACAAGGGGAGGTCTTAAGCGCAAAGTTGAAAAACATAAATCACCAGCAATGTTGCCATGATTTTTTTCTTTTAAGTCACTCCTACATTTGATCTCTACTTGTGTGGCTGTCTCCAGTTCTGCTCTGCTCCAAACTCATTATTATGCAACGGCACAACTGTCTGAACTGCTCCTTGGAGAGTGGAGGGACACTCTGGCTTTGAACTGAATGAGGTGCGCAGAATCTACACAAAAATTCAGTCCAAGATTTAAATACCATTTTAAAAAGCAACATAAACATGACTTACTTGATGAGCCCATCCTCCATGTAGATGTCTGCGTGAAAAGACTGATCATCGTTCACAATCCTCCCTCCCTTTATCAGGAGACGCTCGCTCTGCAGGAGAAAAATAAGGAAAATGTTAACTCAATATAATCTCAATCGGATTACTAAACTTAAATGCAATGTACAGAAGTGCTTTTTGTTCCATTAGAAGATCAGATATGGTTGATACAGTCTCAGAAATGTGTGAATTGGTCACTGCAGGTATAGTATAAAACCTACAAAAACGAAATCATGATAAGAAGAAATATTTATGAAGCTTAAGCGTAACTTCAGACTGGTAGACTACCCATGAACCAGGCCGGCCCCATCAACTCCCCTGGCAGCCATGCCAATCAAGCCAGCCTTTCAAGCCACAACCACCTCCTCTCCACCTCCGCTCTCATCCACCTGCCTTGTTTACACCACCAGTGCTTAGGCCCCGGGGGTTCCTCACAGAGCAAGACCAGAGCCGGGACCTATTTGCCAAACTAATAAACTACAAACAAACTTGCAATAAATAAATCTTTCAACGCATCTTGTAGTCTCTTTCTTGTAGACTGAAATACAGCTGCGTTCATGATACCCAAAACCCTATTCATTCAATGAAAGGGTGAAGAGTCTTGCCTAAGGATTGTTATTTTTTTTCTGTGAATAATTGTTTTTGTATAAAAAAAAAAAAAAAGATTTCATTGCTAGGACTGGGGGAAAGACTTCAGAGAAAGTCAAATCTGATTCAAAAGGACTGATGGAGGACGAGATAATCTGTATTAACATGGATCTGTTATGTAACAAAACTGTGCACATGTGTTTGGGACAGACGTTTTTTCAAAGTCAGTGAAAAATGCATGTTTTTATGTTTTTACTATTGGTGTGAGATTATTGATAGATCCCTTGTTGTAATTTAAGAAAAAATGATGAGAATTTACTTCCAACATTAGGTTCACATTTTTAGGATGCGGCTGCACTTCTGGTCTTTTTGTCACAAATATTACTGACCTTAAAGTAGAAATATTTCAAACACGAGAAAGCATTTGCACACTCAAAATTCAGAGAGGCACCGTTGTTGTTCCACCGAGTAATATTGAGAGGGAGGGGGATGGGAGAGTAACATAGTTTACTAATCAAAGGAAGGTTTCTCACCCATCATCTGTACTTCTTAGCAAGTTTTCCCAACGTTTCGTCCTCAACCTGGGGACTTCTTCAGGGAATGAATTCTCGGACCGCGCGTTGGAGATTTATAACCTATGGGTGTGGTAAGCCACACCCTAATCCTGATACTAACTCGTAAACAATCTACGGTCTGCTTGATGTAGAAGGGAGCAGGTCTAACGACCCTGGTGAGGCTAACGACCCTAACTCCTTAGCATGTCACAGACCTATTGTCTGCTGGGATGCTCAAGTGGAGTGCAGGTCTCACCCCTCCTAACTCATTAGCATGTCACTGACCTTGTCCCAAGTTAGGGCGTTGTTTTTAGGATGTCGTCATAGATGCGAGGCAAAACAAATCTTAACCCTCCTCCTCTGTTAAGAGAAGGTTTCTGTTTCCTCACAAAAATAGCTTCTTTCACCCCTCTCTCAAACCAATTCTTCTCCCGAGCCAGAATTTTAACCTCTGTATCATCCACCGTGTGGTTGGAGGCCTTGAGGTGGAGATGAACAGCCGACTGTGGCCCACTAGAGTTTTCTCTACAATGTTGGTAAAGTCGTTTCTGTAGAGTTTGTTTGGTTTCTCCAATATAGTGGTCAGTGCACTCCTCTTCACTACATTTAATTGAATACACCACATTGCTCTGTTTGTGTCTGGGTGTTTTGTCTTTGGGATGCACTAATTTCTGTCTTAACGTGTTGAAAGGTTTGAAATACACAGGGATTTTGTGTTGCCTAAAGATTCTTTGTAGTTTCTCTGAAACTCCCGCCACATACGGTAAGGACACGCCTCTCCTCCTACTTTCTTCTGTCTGTTGGACTGTGTCTCTGGCCTTTCTCGTCCTTTGGGCTTTAGTAAAAGACCACTTGGGGTAGCCACATCTGGAAAGTGCTCTCTGAACATGTTTGGTTTCTCTGTTCTTTCCCTCCGAGCTCGTGGGGACCTGGTGGGCTCGGTGTTGAAGCGTTCTAATGACCCCGAGTTTGTGTTGTAGCGGATGATTTGAATCAAAAGCCAAGTACTGGTCAGTGTGAGTGGACTTTCTGAAGACCTCAGTCTCTAATTGTCCGTTCTCCAGTATGATGACCTTAACGACCGAGGGTCGTTAGCCTCAGCAGCCTCAGCAGGGTCGTTAGACCTGCTCCCCTTCTACATCAAGCAGACCTGAGATTGTTTACGAGTTAGTATCAGGGTTAGGGTGTGGCTTACCACACCCATAGGTTATAAATCTCCAACGCGCGGTCCGAGAATTCATTCCCTGAAGAAGTCCCCAGGTTGAGGACGAAACGTCGGGAAAACTTGCTAAGAAGTACAGATGATGGGTGAGAAACCTTCCTTTGCTTTAACTAATCCCTGTACGACTGAGGGCTTACACAACTCATAGTTTACTAATGAGGTTAAATTAAACTAAAGCTTAAATCTGAAAGCAGGCTACCCGTAAAATATTGTGTTCTCAACAGAAAGGCCTTGTGTTGTGCGTGTTTAAATTTCAATCAATCAAAATGTATTTCTATAGCACAGTGTCTCCCAAAGTGGGGTCCGCGGCCCCCTGGTGGGCCGCGAGGGTACTGCAGGGGGGCCGCGGGAGGTCATAAAAAAATAAAAAAAATATATAATTATTTAATGTTAAATTTATAATGTTTTGTTTGTAATATTAAAATATTTGTGTTCATTATTTGACTTGAATAATCCACTGTAATCATTTTTGTATTACAATGTTTGTAGCAGAGGCTATTTCCCCAAAATAAAATAACCAGAAGAGCCTATTCTTAATGTTGTCTTCTTGGTTATTATTTTGGGGGGCCACGCAGACCCGTCAGATTTTTAAGGGGGCCTCGGTGTTACTGAGTTTGGGAATGGCTGCTATAGCATATACAGTAGGTCATACAAAAAGCATCTAAAAGTGTCTCACATTGGTAACATTTAAAAGCAACAGTTTAAAACCAGCACGCTGAAACACACTGTAAATACACACAGACACGCACTCACACTCACACACACACACACGGTTCGAGGTGCATATGTCTGGAATGCTGACTCCACTCCAATACATGTTTTTTTTATACTTTTTTGGCGATATTGTTCTTGTATCTGTGATGCTTTTGACTCTATCTCCTGATGATTGTAAAGATAAAAGGGAAATATCAATGTAGAAATAATCTGGATTTTCTGTAAAATTCTGGAAGTTTTTTATCTACTTAATGTTAAATTAACAACCGATTTATTTCTAATCATCTGTACATTTGGGAGGTTGTTATTTTCCGTGAAATTACAGTATATAAAGTCTAAGATCTCCTGTATATGGTTGAAACGGGGACTTATGCAGATAATCAGCAATTCATTCTTGTGTTAATTTAGTACAGCTGATTAATTGTAATATTGTACTTTTTAACTGACACCATAACAATAAACTATAATAGCTTAGTTTATTGTTATGGTGTCAGTAGCATAAAGTCGCCGAAGTGATTATTGAGGGAGGATTATTATATGTGACATGTTTTAGACAACAAACACATCAGCTCAGCACAATTACATCATAGGCCTCTGCTGTGAGAAACCTCCACGCCGCTAAAACAAATGAATGACCTCAGAGTTTAATTCATAAAGAGAATTGTGTCATATCCCAGACTGGAGCGAGATCATAACTCGTCCTGGATCTGGACCAAAATCACAAATGCACTTCTCTATGGAGCCGTCCAAAGCAAGAGGACTGCAGTGGTGTGTATTGTGTAAATGTGGCGTAGGAGGACCGCACCCAGACTGCATCACAGACTGGATCACAGACTGGATCACAGACTGGATCACAGACTGGATCACAGACTGGATCACAGACTGCATCACAGACTGCATCACAGACTAGATCACAGACTGGATCGTGGACTGCATCACAGACTGGATCACAGACTGGATCACAGACTGGATCACAGACTGCATCACAGACTGCATCACAGACTAGATCACAGACTGGATCGTGGACTGCATCACAGACTGGATCACAGACTGGATCACAGACTGGATCACAGACTGCATCACAGACTGCATCACAGACTAGATCACAGACTGGATCGTGGACTGCATCACAGACTGAATCACAGACTGGATCACAGACTGGATCACAGACTGGATCACAGACTGCATCACATACTGGATCACAGACTGGATCACAGACTGGATCACAGACTGGATCACAGACTGGAGACTGGATCATAGACTGGATCACAGACTGGATCACAGACTGGATCACAGACTGGATCATGGAATGGATGCAGCCTTTTGTGATTATAACAAAAAAGGCTTGATCTCATACTAAGTAAGTCAATTTGAAGTGGAATTACAGAAGTAAATGAAAAATAATGTAATGTTCACCTATATGTATAGTACAGAAGTTAGAAACTAATAAATATATTGTCTAGAACGGAGCGTTTTCATTGTCACTGTCAAAGATCAAACATTCTGTGTTCTCTCCAAATCAAGGTGTCGAAAATCAATGTAAAATCAAAATAACATGTATTTTTTGACACAACAAAACTTTGCCCCAGGACACATGCGGGTTCATATTAAGTTCCATCACATAACTGTATGTCTCAGCCTTCTGATTTAACGGTTTTGTTATTAAAACAAATCATTCTATAAAGGATGCCAAACATGAATGCATTGTTGAATATAGAGTAGACAATATAGAGTAAATAAAAATAGACCTTAATTTGAAGCAGTACAAATAAGATGGGTGGAAGATGGGTGGATGGATAAATATAATTGCAAACTGCTGTAACCATTTCCATATAATGTTAAAATAGAAAATGTTCCGGATTGAGAAAAAACAACAACAGCGCCAGTGTCAAAGATTATTAATAATGAAACAATTACATTTTGTAGGTCCAACTCCAGCGCTGTGGTATCGTTTGGCAAGGCGGTCTGTCAAGAG